AAAAGTGATTCATTCAAGGGCAGTAAATTACTTTCTTTCTGATGTTTGATTAACATTACACAAATGGCGACAGCAGCTTTATTAGCAGCTACTGTCACTTTAAGACCTCAGGTCGGAACTCAAGTGCGCTGTGCAAAACCGCCTCAAGTTATCATTTAAAATAATTTGTATCCTTCCAAACCACAATTATTAAAAACGTGTTTAATTTATAAACTTACATCATGATGTCTCAGCAAAATTTACATATTTCTACCGGATATACTATTATCGCCAGCCCTTTAGGCGAATATAGAGTTTGATCAAACACAAAAAGCAAGATCAAACATCCATCAAGTTAATAATCAAACTTACCGAAAATTTGTGGGGTCGACGATGACGCTGTGTTTTAAAAAATAGTCTAGACTCTAGAGTGAAGGGTGGAGGCGATTTATTGGTTGATGCGTAGCTATATTCTAATAAGGCGCAGGCACTCCAGGCAGCCATCTATATAGGCCTATGTGCAACAGCAGGTCGATCGTTCACAAGTTAAATATAGAATAAATGTATTATGTTAAATTAAAACGTGACGTTTCATTTCACCATGCCCTGTCCTGGTGCCCACGGGGGTTTGATTGACAGGCGACCTGGCCAATCATAACGCCGAATACGCAATTTTGTCAGACAACAAAGCTGTCAGTAGATTAACGTCGGTGGACTTGAACTTGAAAACGGTATGGTTTAAATTATTTAAATTACAATATTTGAAAGTTGAGACTTTGTTTCATATCAACAGTAAGCTGCTCTGAACTCTCTCTCGTAGTCAATTGTGTAACGTTATAGGCCGGGAGCCAGGTCCACTCCTCAGGATGTTTTTTGCTACCTTTTTTTCACTATTATTTCCTATTATTTTATACCTTGGGCCATCACAAGTTGATAATGACCACCCCCAACTCGGCCCCGTTTGGTCTCAGGGGCCAAAAAACACCCTTTTTGGGGAAAGATTTTGGCGGAATGATGTAATTGTGAATATTAAGGTACTGCAGCTACATGAATGGTCATATAACCCCCAAATTTTGCATGGTGTATCCTGACACATAGGGTAAACTAGCAGAAAAAGATTCTGGGGATTGCTGCTTTTTTGCTGTCAAATATCACCCTCAACATACCCCAAAAGACAAAAAAATGTCTGTCCGCCTGACAAATTGTCATCACAAGTGACCATTTTCAAGCATTTTATTATACACATCACTGCCCCAAATGTACATGAAAAACTTCCCAAGTTTATAAGCTTCAATTTAAGTCCAAGATGACCTTTCTATCTAGAGGATTGCAGCTGGTATAACCAAAGTTCTCCACTGTACCTCCAATCGGAGAAAATGGAACTTTCAAGCATTACCATTCCATAGGGAATTAAAGGTACAATATGCAGGATTTTTCGCCACCAAGGGTCGCAAACCTCTTACAATAACAAAGGCGTATATTGATGACGTATATTCTGTATTAAGCGAAATTATGGATCTTGTCGTCAAGCTGATGGATCTTTTATGGATGAGTGAGTACATTGATGTTTTTAACATGACTGTTGTGTGAAGCAGGGCGCGATTGCTAGACGTATACCAGCGCCACACGCAATGCGAGTCCCGCGGATATAAAGCATAAGGACATTTCATTCTACCGACTACACGCAAGTGCTGCATTACTACTCACACAGGTCAGTTTATTAAACTAATGAAACTTGAGGTAACGCAGCGCTGTTTCACTTGCTCTAACAGTTACACTATCACACTAAACAGCATTTGAGTGTGTTGAATGTTGTTAGTTAGGTTGTTTGTTGGCTGTATGAGACTAAGTAAGCTAGATCAACATTAGAATAACATACAGATCATATTCTAACATTTCATCATGTTGAACTAAATAACATTGATTAGTTTTATGTACATTTGCTCACCTGTCTAATAAAGAACATGCAACACTCGCGTCTCTGTCACGTTGAAGTTAGTCGCGGACATGCAGCTCTCGGCATCTCGAAAGATGTTTGTCTCAAAGTCTGCTTGCCATGGTCCATAATGTTTGAACAAAACAACAGCGTGAGCGTCCTGCTGGGCACCCAGTTGTCAACGTGTGTCGCCATGGTTACTATTGCAGTACGAGGTCAAACCTGGCGGAAACCAGGGCTAACGCGGATATGACGCCATTGACTGGCGACTCCTCACCCCTGCTCACACACCCCGTTTCCTTGGTTAAAATAGCAATTTTCACACAATTTACCTTTAAGCATATTTTTTGCATATGAACAATATTTCTAAAACGAGTTGAGACTTGACTTATGTACTGCTATACTATACGAAGTGAATTGCATGAAAAGTGAGTAATGCTATGCCCCTAGGTGGACGGGTCAGGGTGCAACATACAAAATTCATACAAAATCAATTAACCAAATGTGAGATTTATTAAAGCATAAAATAGAAAACATTTCTTTGGTTCTTAGATCTTTTTGCTGCTTATCCATGCTGTACTTAGACGACTGGTCATGTTAGTGTATTGTATTAGTGTAGAATATAAAGTCTCAATCATCATTTTCCTCCTCTTCACCTATATTCGTATGGATTTCATCAGTCAAGTCCTCTTCATTTGTTTCATTTTCTGCCAAGACATCAACAAGGGCTTGGGGGATGACGTCCCCCTCAAACCATAGTGGTTCTAGCTTGCATGTCTCTGTGTTTATGTGAAATCCATGTCAAATATGATGTTGACAGTTGATGACTTGGCATAATAGAGGAGGATCAAGAGTCTTTTGCTCTTTGCTCTTCCTGGTTTGGATATACTGCATGTAAATGATCACCCTCACATCTGTTTCTTCATGTTTTGAACATATCTCTGGTAGAAGTTCTTTTGACATAACTCATCATTGCATTCTATCTTGAAAGCTTGACCAAAAAAAAAAAGCAATCGATTGTTGAGATGGAGTATGGCGTCAAGGGATAGGTCATTAGGTCAGAGATGCTTATTTGTGATTTTAAGTTCTTGTGATTTGATGAAGATCTGAAAGATAAACCCACTTGTGGCCTTGTACTGGATCACTTTCTGGTTTGATGCCACAAGCTTCCTTTTAGGTGTGGTAGATGACATTGTCTTGAATCTGTTCCTCTTGATGGGTTCAAAGAAAATGACCTTTTTTGTTTGAAGTCGATCACGTATGAACTTCTCTTTTGAGAGGACAGTGCATTCAGTTTATGAGTTGGAAATTACTGATTGGAGCAAAGAGGTCAGCCATGGTCTTCACAAGAAAATTGTAACAGCCTGTAAAACCTCTGAGCCACACTGAGACTCATTCTACTGATCATTTCCTGACTGCATGCATGCCAAATGAGAGTTTGTAGAAGCCATGTGGGAAATGACAAGTGGCCGAGGCGAACAAACAGAGAAGCAACGGATCTCTGACCACGTGAAATCACTCGGTCTGAGGAGCAAGTGCAGCAAACAGTACAAGCTTTTCAGAGTTTTATCAACCCATTTCAGCCTCATTTGGATCATGGAGATCATGAGCCCTCAGAGGCCAAGGTGGCTCAGAGGTTTTAAAGGCTGTTACAATTTTACAGTTTTTACCGAAGGCCTGTCATTTTCATAGAGGCTGGTCAAGCTTTCAAGATAGAATGCAATGGAGTTATGTCAAAAGAACTTCTACCAGAGATCTGTTCAAAACATGAAGAAACAGATGTGAGGGTGATCATTTACATGCAGTATATCCAAACCAAAATGCCTCACATCAGAACAGTTAGAGCAAAAGACTCTTGATCCTCCTGTATTATGCCAAGTCATCAACTGTCAACATCATCTTTGACATGGGAGATAGACTAATCAACATCAACCAGCTGGCTGAAGATTATTCACAGGAACACATTCAGCTCTTCTGGCCTTGCATTTGTTCACTGGTGCTGACTGCACTTCAGCATTCAAAGGCAGAGGGAAGGTCCGTCCGATGAAGATTCTTAGTCAGAATTCAAAGTTTATTCAGATCTTTGCTGAAGTGGGGAACTCTTGGGAGCTCGATGAACAGATTCTCAGCGGTGTTCAAGACTTCACGTGTCGCTTCTATGATTTCAATCGTATTTCAATGGATGTCACATAAACACAGAGACAGGCAAGCTAGAACCACTATGGTTTGAGGGGGACGTCATCCCCCAAGCCCTTGTTGATGTCTTGGCAGAAAATGAAACAAATGAAGAGGACTTGACTGATGAAATCCATACGAATATAGGTGAAGAGGAGGAAGAGGAGGAAAATGATGATTGAGAGTTTATATTGTACACTAATACAATACACTAACGTGACCATTCGTCTAAGTACAGCATGGATAAGCAGCAAAAAGATCTAAGAACCAAAGAAATGTTTTCTATTTAATAAGTCTCACATTTGGTTAATTGATTTGTATGAAAGTACCCTATGTTGCACCCTGACCCCAGTCCACCTAGGGGCATAACATTACTCACTTTTCATGCAATTCACTTCATATAGTATATGTCACATGTCTGTCCTGTCTTGTGATGCACATGGGTGTTTTGTTATTTTGAGCCATGTGCTCTTGTCATTGTTTGATCCCTCCCCCGTGTTATCTGGTTATTGGTTTATTTGTTCCACCTGTCAGCCTCGTTACCCTCCTTTGTTTGCCTCCCTATTTAGTCTTCCTGTGTTTGTTGTCCTGTGCTCGTTCGTTGTTTATGTTACTTGGGATTTTGAGTTGTGTGTTGTTCTGTTCCTGCCATGTCGTGTTTCTGGATTTAGCAATTAGTTTATCAACCTGGATTTCCTTTGTTTAATTTATGTTTTACTTAATTAAAGGCTTTCACCTCTGCATTTGAGTCCTCGCTCCATTCTCCGCAACGCACCCGTGACAGAACGAACGAGCCATCATGAGGACTCAGCGGAGGAAGAATTCAAAGGAACCACCAGTCTTTCCTTCATCATGTCCGCAATACGAACGGATTATGAAATTCAGGGAATTGACCTCTCTTCGGCAACAGGGGACTAAGGTGAGGGACTTTGCCCGGAAGTTCTCTGCAGTGGCAGTGGGACTGAAGCTTAGTGAGGGGGCTCTGAAGGATCTACTTAATTATGCACTTGATGACCCCATACCTTTTGGTATTATGAGAAGTTTGCAGAGTTTGACGTTTGGGGAATTTATAATACTCCTTGAACGTCATGAAGTTCCTCCTGATTCAGTGGCCTGGGAGAATCCATCCTTGGTGGGCCGAGGGGATCTGACTTCGGTGGTCCAGGAGGATCCGGCGCCGGTGGTCCCAAGTCCGGGGGTCCCAAGTCCGGGGGTCCCGAAGGATGCGACTTCGGCGGTCCCAAGTTCGGTGGTCACAAGCTCGGTGGTCTCAAGCCTGGTTGTTCAGGGGGACTTGACTTCGGTGGTCCCAAGTCCGGGGGTCCCTAAGGAGGTGACTTCAGTGGTCTCAGATCCGGTTGTCCCAGAGCGGTTCCCTTACCCTGCAGCGCCACCATTGGTGGCCGAGGAACCTATAAAGACCGTTCGCTCACGTAAACGGAGAAGGAGGAAAGCTTCCAGTCAACCACGAGATCCGGAGGTTGTTCCGAAGCCTTCAGCCGGGACCTCGAAGCATCCAGTGGGAACTGCAACCGAGTCACCCAAACGCCTTGCTCTCCCGGCGCCACCCAAGCGCCTCGCCCTGCTGGCGCCACCCAAGCGTCTCGCCCTGCTGGCGCCACCCAAGCGTCTCGCCCTGCTGGCGCCACCCAAGCGTCTCGCCCTGCTGGCGCCACCCAAGCGTCTCGCCCTGCTGGCGCCACCCAGACGTCTCGCCCTGCTGGCGCCACCAAAGAGTCTCGCCCTGCTGGCGCCACCCAGACGTCTTGCCCTGCCAGCGCCGCCCAAGATCCTTACGTCTGTCGAGCCAGAGACTGTTCGTGTCAGTCACGCCGAGCCGGCGTTTCACGTCAGTCACGCCGTGCCAGAGACTGTCCATGTCAGCCACGCCGTGCTAGTAATTGTCCACGCCAGCCACGCCATGCCAGAGATTGCCCACGTCATATCTGCCCAGCCAGAGCCTGTCCCTGAACCTGTCTCTCTCCCCAAGATTTGGTTGCGGGGGGGCTATAGGTCACCACCCTGGCCGCCCGAGGGGTCTTCGCCGCCCTGGCCGCCCGAGGGGTCTTCGCCGCCCTGGCCGCCCGAGGGGTCTTCGCCGCCCTGGCCGCCCGGGGGGTCTTCGCCGCCCTGGCCGCCCGAGGGGTCTTCGCCGCCCTGGCCGCCCGAGGGGTCTTCGCCGCCCTGGCCGCCCGAGGGGTCTTCGCCGCCCTGGCCGCCCGAGGGGTCTTCGCCGTCCTGGCCGCCCGAGGGGTCTTCGCCGCCCTGGCCGCCCGAGGGGTCTTCGCCGCCCTGGCCGCCCGAGGGGTCTTCGCCGCCCTGGCCGCCCGAGGGGTCTTCGCCGCCCTGGCCGCCCGAGGGGTCTTCGCCGCCCTGGCCGCCCGAGGGGTCTTCGCCGCCCTGGCCGCCCGAGGGGTCTTCAGCTTCGCCCTGGCCGCCCAATGGACTGTCCGCTTCACCCTGGCCTCCCATTCCCCCCTGGTCTGTCCCTCCTGTCCCACCTTGGTCTGTCCCTCCCGTCCCGCCCTGGTGTTTCCTTCCTGTCCCGCCCTGGTCTGATGGAGCGTCTGGTAGCCGCTCCGTAGGGAGGGGGTAATGTCACATGTCTGTCCTGTCTTGTGATGCACATGGGTGTTTTGTTATTTTGAGCCATGTGCTCTTGTCATTGTTTGATCCCTCCCCCTTGTTATCTGGTTATTGGTTTATTTGTTCCACCTGTCAGCCTCGTTACCCTCCTTTGTTTGCCTCCCTATTTAGTCTTCCTGTGTTTGTTGTCCTGTGCTCGTTCGTTGTTTGTTACTTGGGATTTTGAGTTGTGTGTTGTTCTGTTCCTGCCATGTCGTGTTTCTGGATTTAGCAATTAGTTTATCAACCTGGATTTCCTTTGTTTAATTTATGTTTTACTTAATTAAAGGCTTTCACCTCTGCATTTGAGTCCTCGCTCCATTCTCCGCAACGCACCCGTGACAGTATAGCAGTACATAAGTTAAGTCTCAACTTGTTTCAGAAATATTGTTCATATGCAAAAAATATGCTTAACCCCCTGGGGTCGGCTATCGCGCCGGCGCGACAAACTCGATTTTTTTTCACATAGCAGAAAAATTGACTGAAAATACTCCATAATTTCTGGTCATACAGACTTAAGAAATATGAAAAAATAAACTGTTAAATGTCTATTTTTTTATGTGTCTACTTACAATCGAAATAAAACATTGTGCTTTTGTAAATTAAAGAAAATAAACAGGGTGTGGTTTCTGCCTCTCTGTCTCCGTTAACTCTTTTCTGGAGCACGTCTCTAAATTTAAACAAAACTCAGCGAATACTATTCCCCCAGGCATGAGCAATATATCTTTATAATCATTTAAGTGTGTACTTTTAAATGATCTAATTCCAAACTAAAATAAATATTCTCTGTTTATGTAATCTATATAAAAAGAGAGAGATTCTCATTATCGTTCTCGCAGCTCATTATTCTGCTAATGTGACATGCCCACGGAGAGCGCGCACTATTCAAACGCAAATTATCTGAAGCATCACATGGAGACGTGTAAACGCCCACATAAACTCGGTAAAACACATCGAGTATAATCAGATTAATGTACTATGTCGTCTTGCGAGGTTGTGAGGAATAATCCTGGGACATTTACCTCAGAATAAGTGCTGGTTTATCCAAAGCATCCAGCTGAGAATTGTGTACGTTTTTTATTTTTGTGCTTTGTTCTAATCGCGATATAGATAGTGTCTGTAAACGCAAAAATACTGTTTAAATTTGAATCACGTTTCTGTGTGTGAATGAATTAACGACACAGATGGGCGCTGTTGTTTACTAATATTGTTTAAATATGAATCGGGTGTCTGTGTGTGAGTGAATGAATGCGAGTCATTTCGTTGACTAGTTTTGGATAGATTATAAAGTTTTTACTCTAAAATAGACATCAAATAAGCTTTTGTTAGCAGTTTCTGCTCATATGTTAAATATATAGTATGTTTTGTCAAAAATAAACTAATCAACTAAGATGTTCTAGTGTTTGTTCCAATGCAAGCTATATCAAAATAATGAATTTTAATAATGAATAATGAACTTAACTTTGAAATATGTATAATAATGTATTAGCCTACTTTAAAAAATAATACTTTAAGACATTTTTAATGGAAAAATACCATTTTCTTTTCAAGATGTTTCCAACTCTAACTTTGAAACTGTTCAAATAGGCTATATGGGCCATTCTACAGAATTGTAGAATGGCCCATATAGCCTATTTAAACAGGATTTGTTTTCAGATATGACTAAAAATGTGCTTTTGACTTTCATTTATATTTTGATTTTATATATATATATATATATATATACACTCACCGGCCACTTTATTAGGTACACCTGTCCAACTGCTCGTTAACACTTAATTTCTAAGCAGCCAATCACATGGCGGCAACTCAGTGCATTTAGGCATGTAGACATGGTCAAGACAATCTCCTGCAGTTCAAACCGAGCATCAGTATGGGGAAGAAAGGTGATTTGAGTGACTTTGAACGTGGCATGATTGTTGGTGCCAGAAGGGCTGGTCTGAGTATTTCAGAAACTGCTAATCTACTGGGATTTTCACGCACAACCATCTCTAGGGTTTACAGAGAATGGTCCGAAAAAGAAAAGACATCCAGTGAGCGGCAGTTCTGTGGGCGGAAATGCCTTGTTGATGCCAGAGGTCAGAGGAGAATGGCCAGACTGGTTCGAGCTGATAGAAGGGCAACAGTGACTGAAATAACCACTCGTTACAACCGAGGTATGCAGCAAAGCATTTGTGAAGCCACAACACGCACAACCTTGAGGCGGATGGGCTACAACAGCAGAAGACTCCACCAGGTACCACTCATCTCCACTACAAATAGGAAAAAGAGGCTACAATTTGCAAGAGCTCACCAAAATTGAACAGTTGAAGACTGGAAAAATGTTGCCTGGTCTGATGAGTCTCGATTTCTGTTGAGACATTCAGATGTTAGAGTCAGAATTTGGCGTAAACAGAATGAGAACATGGAACCATCATGCCTTGTTACCACTGTGCAGGCTGGTGGTGGTGGTGTAATGGTGTGGGGGATGTTTTCCTGGCACACTTTAGGCCCCTTAGTGCCAATTGGGCATCGTTTAAATGCCACGGCCTACCTGAGCATTGTTTCTGACCATGTCCATCCCTTTATGGCCACCATGTACCCATCCTCTGATGGCTACTTCCACCATGTCACAAAGCTCTAATCATTTCAAATTGGTTTCTTGAACATGACAATGAGTTCACTGTACTAAAATGGCCTCCACAGTCACCAGATCTCAACCCAATAGAGCATCTTTGGGATGTGGTGGAACGGGAGATTCGCATCATGGATGTGCAGCCGACAAATCTGCGGCAACTGTGTGATGCCATCATGTCAATATGGACCAAACTCCCTGAGGAATGCTTCCAGCACCTTGTTGAATCTATGCCACGAAGAATTGAGGCAGTCCTGAAGGCAAAAGGGGGTCCAACCCGTTACTAGCATGGGGTACCTAATAAAGTGGCCGGTGAGTGTATATATATATATATATATATATACCCTTGCATTCCTTCTTGTGTGACACAACTAAATGAAAGGCTCATTATTATGCAGGTCTTCTCAGGTGTGAACCATCTAATTATTCATGATAAGTGGTTGGGCTGTCCCATCCGCATATTGCCTTTCCAAACAAAAAAATGTTTTTCACAATTTAAAGCAATCTATTGTGTTATGTGAATGATTAGGCAGGATGATTTTCAGATCATTTTGAAGCAAAAACTCTAGGCGACAACATCCATTAGTCAAAAGTCTTGTGGACAGATATTTTGTATGTGTTTTGTGGCCTTATTTCAGAAACTTTAATTTTTAGTTTTTTCAATAACCATGCATAAACGATATTCTCTCAAAAATACAAACATGTACATACATGTTGCTCACATATTATGGTAGCCCTGTTTGTGCTAAATAGAGTGTAATTACACCTTTGCTGAAAAAAAGCACAACTGAAAAAAGCACAAATGTCAGGGCATGTCCAAACATCTCAAGGACCTCAAAAACACCTTAGACCCCAGAGGGTTAAAGGTACAATATCCAGGATTTTTGCAGTAAAATATCCAAAAACCACTAGGCCCATGTTATATATTTTGTTTAGTTGATTAGGCTACTTACAATATCCCAAATTTTCCAACTATTTGTAAATCGTGAGAAAATTGCGATTTTAACCAAGGAAACGGGGTGTGTGAGCAGGGGTGAGGAGTCGCCAGTCAATGGCGTCATATCCGCATTAGCCCTGGTTTCCGCCAGGTTTGAGTTCGTACTGCAATAGTAACCATGGCGACACACGTTATTTAGTTCAACATGATGAAATGTTAGAATATGATCTGTATGTTATTCTAATGTTGATCTAGCTTACTTAGTCTCATACAAACAACCTAACTAACAACATTCAACAAACTCAAATGCCATTTAGTGTGATAGTGTAACTGTTAGAGCAAGTGAAACAGCGCTGCGTTACCTCAAGTTTCATTAGTTTAATAAACTGACCTGTGTGAGTAGTAATGCAGCACTTGCGTGTAGTCGGTAGAATGAAATGTCCTTATGCTTTATATCCGCGGGACTCGCATTGCGTGTGGCGCTGGTATACGTCTAGCAATCGCGCCCTGCTTCACACAACAGTCATGTTAAAAACATCAATGTATTCACTCATCCATAAAAGATCCATCAGCTTGACGACAAGATCCATAATTTCGCTTAATGCGGAATATACGTCATCAATATATGCCTTTGTTATTGTAAGAGGTTTGCGACCCTTGGTGGCGAAAAATCCTGCATATTGTACCTTCAATTCCCTATGGAATGGTAATGTTTGAAAGTTCCATTTTCTCCGATTGGAGGTACAGTGGAGAACTTTGGTTATACCATCTGCAATCCTCTAGATAGAAAGGTCATCTTGGACTTAAATTGAAGCTTATAAACTTGGGAAGTTTTTCATGTACATTTGGGGCAGTGATGTGTATAATAAAATGCTTGAAAATGGTCACTTGTGATGACAATTTGTCAGGCGGACAGACATTTTTTTGTCTTTTGGGGTATGTTGAGGGTGATATTTGACAGCAAAAAAGCAGCAATCCCCAGAATCTTTTTCTGCTAGTTTACCCTATGTGTCAGGATACACCATGCAAAATTTGGGGGTTATATGACAATTTATGTAGCTGCAGTACCTTAATATTCACAATTACATCATTCCGCCAAAATCTTTCCCCAAAAAGGGTGTTTTTTGGCCCCTGAGACCAAACGGGGCCGAGTTGGGGGTGGTCATTATCAACTTGTGATGGCCCAAGGTATAAAATAATAGGAAATAATAGTGAAAAAAAGGTAGCAAAAAACATCCTGATGAGTGGACCTGGCTCCCGGCCTATTAGTCTTTGCCCCGCGATGTAGGCTACTATTTTTCAGTGCATGAGTGAGAATGTGCGTGACTCGTGAGAGCCGCCTGGCTTGTCACACAGTAACTAAAAAAGGCGGGTCTTTGCGAGCGGTCACTATAATATTAATGATAATGATTCCATGATAATGCATGGAATATTCGGCAAAGCACTACTAAATAACAGGGCTAATTTGTGGGGGGCGTTGCGTGGTAAGGCTTTGGCAATCAGAAGGGTAGTAGTAGGCTTGTTTGAGATGAGCAAAATCTGCGCAGAACCGATCACCGGTGATCAGCGCGAGATGCATGCCGGTTAGAAATGTGTCCGAGTGCGGTCCGCCTTGCTCTGATGTCATGCCGACGTATGTCAAAAAACTCTCGCGACCGCAAGGCGCACGTGTCGGATTCTGCAGCCGCGCGCAGTTGCTCTCCACCGACTGCACTGATCAAAAGCACGATGGGAAACGACTTGCTGACGACACAGCTTAATGCTCATTGGTTTAAACAACCGTGATGTATTGTTCTCTTTTAAAATGTTTGATTTTAAAACTCTGATATCATGTTTTATGTGTATAAATTATGTGTGGATATTCCCAAACTCTCTGACAGTGTGATCTATGTGATGTAATTTAGAAAAATACAAATAAAAAATAAAAACACATATCTGTATTAAAGAAAAAATGATTGATAAACACATAGGCCTATTTAAAATGGAATTAAAATAAGTACTTTGGGTGTCTTGTTCCTTATATTTATTTTCATATTCAAGCAACAAAACTTCAATTACATCCAGTTTATTAGCAACACCGTGCACGGGCGTGAATCCCGTGAATCCCGCGATATCCGCCTTTGATCTCACAGGTGTCTGATCCACTGCGAGAAGCGAGATCTGTCCGGCTTGCCTGCGCTTTTTTCACTCCTCCTCTCACTGCAGCCGCCTACTCTCGACTACATTGCAGGCGAGGCAAGGCGCATCTCAAACAAGCCTAGTATCTGCTCCACAGCCAATCAAGGGCCCCCTCCTTGTTCGGGCCCCGGGGCTGCAAAACCTGTTTCCATTGCAGTTTTTTTTTTTACTAAAGCAGTATATAAAATCAGATGTATATTACCTACCACCATTTAGTTGTTTTGTGTTATTTAAAATATTTATAATATATATATTTTTTTACAATGCAAAAAAAAAATTTAAACGGGTTTCAGCCACCAGGGGGGAGCAATGCTCCCCCTGCCCCCCCGCAAACTCCGCGCCTGCTATGGGAGTGTCGCAACTCTCTCTCTCTGGGTATGGTCACCTCTCGATGCATCCTCGGTAAACGGGGCGGATCAAGAACACATCCGGGGATTTGAAATGGACTTGGCTAGATGTGAACTTTGAATTGGAACAGTACTTGGGCAGTGACTGATGACGTTTCACAAGTCCACAAGAACACAAGTACAGACAAGAACGCATATTGAGAAACGGCCGAGGTATCCTAATTCAATTAAATTAAATTACAAACAGCATCACCTGCGTTTGAAGGACCCAATTGGTCGTGACGTCGGAACGAACTTGTACAAGTAGATCCTCTCATCTGATATCAACTAAGCAGAGATAGAATTTCTTCCTTTATCATCAACATGGTTTATTTGAGCGTCATCATCTTTACCTGTAAGTGTGTATTCTTGATTCAATTCCTTTCGTGTTTTAAAAATGTAAGTGTTCGATAAGTTCATAAATTGTTAAATTAGAACTTAAAGTCCACGTTAGCAGAGCTTTTGTTAGGTCCAATAACGGGCTTCAATCCGTGCGCAGGTAAAGCGCCGTACATTTCAGTTTATCTTTGATCCTAGCTGGTTGACTAAGTCCTTTTTCGCCCGGACATGTCCTCTTTTGGACCTAAAAAAATGCTTCAGAATGTGTATCCGCCCTCGTCAATTTGCATGTATAGCATGACGAATAATTATCTGCACATAAAGCTTTCGTAAAATTAAAAATAAAACAAACTATATGGTACCATTGCCTCTCCGTCCGACTTTTTTCCTCCTTATCAATATACAGGTCGTCTTTGTAATCGTACCATAACCTACAGTGTTTCATTTTTAATTTGATGCACTTCCATCTCTTCTGGAAGTTCTGAAATGTAACTTTAGTACATTTTTATGGGTAATGAAATGTATGATTTGTCATTAATTTAGTGACTTGTGTTTTTTTTTTTTTTACAGTGCTTCTAAACTCCAGGTTGCTGATATCTGCCGGTACTTCATCAGTCCAGTTGCCAATCAGCAGTTACACAATTACTTATGCTGTGTGCACAGCATGCTGTAATTAAGATAATATACCTTAGTCAGGGTAGATGCCATATTGAATTTACTGTAACCTGGATGAAAATCAGGGCTCTGAGGGATTGACTTGCAGTCTTTACAATGGTGAGCAGACCGCACACTGAATGGGCTAAAAAAGGTCTTAGATCATGTAATTTTCGTAACATAACTTTCAAAACCAATTTATCGAGTTTGTCTATTGAATTTCTTTTTGTTAGCTGGACAATTGCGTTAAACAACAGTAGGATCCATTGAACCCACTTGTACTTCTATCCCTCACAGCCTAGTTTTCATTCCTGTCAAAAGATATGGGGCTACCCTGACTAAGGTCTATTATGAGATGACATGTGAGGTTCTACTTGGAGCTGTTCATGTCCTCAGACTTATGTCAACACCTAAATGAATTTGCAGCGGTCAGGTGGTACAAGATGGAATCTCAATTATATACATTGCGTGAATGCACTTTTTTTTTTTTTTTTATCTTAAACCTTTTGTGTACGATCACACAGTGTGATTAGAACATTCAGTGTGGGTCAATGACTATATTCAAGTTTGCTTTTGTGCTTTGGCTGGTGCTGAGCATGGTCAAATCTGTAAGCAAGGCATTCAAGCCCTGCATATAAAAACAGTTGGGGCTCAGCATCTTTAAGATCCTCACACTATAGCGCTCTGCCGTAATGGTATTTTAAGTCATAAAGCTTAAATCAGACAATGCATATTGTTCTGAAGGCATAAAGAAAGCAGTTTTGCTTTAAGATATGCTCACTCTTAACTGCCACTTTTTTTTGAAGAACTTGGAGTTAAAGATCCTGTAAATGATGCATCGTGGTAATCCAATAACATTCCTTGTTATGTATCATTCACTCTAAAACCCACATTACTGTATAAGGTTTTCTTTCTCACAGTATTTAGTATTTTGCAGATGTAGTATCTGGAGTTTCTCTCCCCTTATAGTTTGTCAGTCTCACCTTACTACAAATAAAACCTGAAGCTGGAATCTTATCTTTTCAGAGACTGTTGTCACATGTGATGGGTTTGTCCAGCGTCTCAGTTGTGGTAAGATGTTGTAATGTCATTCAACTAAAATATTTTACTTTTTTTCTTGAGTAATCAATGTCCTGATGTTTTTCTTCCATTTAGCCTCTGGTGTGATCCATGTGGAATCAGCAACCTTTGGCCGGACAAACAGCAACATTTGCAGTGTTGGACGACCACAAGGACAAACGATTAATACTCAGTGTTCAATGGGTGTTCCTGAAGTCTCTAAACGGTAAGGATCTCTTTCTTTGTGACTTGAGACAGAACAATTATGGGTAGAATTGAGTCTGCTTGCTCTGTTGCTCGATTTCATCGTTCTTGAGATTCAAGAGGTTACTTTATTTGTCCCTAGGGAAATTTGTCTTGGACATAAAGGCTGCCACATAAAAATACAGCAATAGATACAGCCAATTCAAAAAATACAGTGTACAGACACCAAAACAAAAATACAGACACCAAAACAAGTTTATACCGAGCGTTGTGAACCTAACCTATACCAGGTTGGATTTATATGGATCTGTCAACTCTAAACCTACTCTGAAACTCAGTTTGTTCAACTAGCTTCATGCAACAGGCCTCAGATGATGTACTGGTTAATAGACATCTGTCTGCGTTTACTGAGAAGGATGTGTGGCTGCAGAGTATTAAAAGCAGAGCTGAAGTCTAGAAATGGCTGTCTGGTGTAGGCCTTGGGTTTTGCTAAATGGTGTATTCTGGTTAGTATAGCATCCTCAGTGCCCCGATAGTCTTTATAGGCAAACCGATACGGATCTAGCGGTCCCTTTATGTTTGACCTCAGCATCCATGCCATTAGCTTTTCCAGATACTTTCATTATAATGGAAGTCAGGGCTACTGGTCTAATCATTTTCTTGTGGAACAGGTTTTTTGGGAGTAATGATTGCCTTTTCCCAGAGATGTTATTGTGTGAATTAACAGACCTTTGAAAGACAAGGACCCATCTGGTGTAAGTTCCTCTGCAAATGTCTTCAAAAGGAAAGCTGAGACGCCATCAGGGCCTGTTGCCTTATAGTGTTTGTTCTTTTAAAAAGTCTTGTGACTTCCAAGGGACTATTGTCTATCATTGGAACCCAATCATCACTTATGGTATAGTTTAAAAGATAAGTCATGTGAATCAAACCTAATCTAGCAGTTATTCAAATCATTTGCCATAGTATTGTCATCAGTTTTGTGTAATGGTTTCCTAGTGGGAGTCATATTTGTAATGGATTTCATGATGGCCCACAGTTTCTTTGTATTTGCACAAGTCCTTTTCTATGGATTCCTTGCATTGATTTTTAGCTATGTTGAGTTTCAGCTCCCTCTGCGCTTTTTTTTTTTTTTTTAACAGGTTAGTTATGTAGATTTAAGGTTTCCAAGAGTCCAGTCAGGACTGCATCTTTGTCCTTTTAAACAGGTGTGATGGACTGAGCGTGTGTGAGTTAAGCACGCAAGGACTTGCAGCACGAGATCCTTGTGATGGCACCTACAAGTACTACACTACCAACTATATTTGCATCCAAGCAGGTTTGGATTTTGTTTGTCTCTTCCTCCATTTCTTCAACTTTCTGTGCAAGCCTGTAATGGTCTTCCTCTTCCAGAAAAAAGTGTAACTTGTCATGGTGGATACTCTTACTTGACATGTGGTGAGCTATTTTTCCATGTTCAATTTGGAAAATGTAGGTTATCTTGAACTTTTCCACATGTTCATGCAAGATGCATATTTTTGTTTGTTAAATCTCTGTAGAAAGTGGTACGATTCAGATGAATTCTGCACACTATGGACGTACAGATAAATTCACCTGCTCGGAAGGACGTCCATCGAGTGAGCTCCAAAACTCCAACTGCTATTCTCCCAATGCACTGGCTCCTGTGTCGAAAAGGTTTGATGAAAAGAAAGTTTAATACTGTTGTATGTAACTTCTGCTGTACCTTGTCTTTAGTAATGACGAATGTAAGGATCTTTTCTTTTCTTTTTTTTTCTGTAAAGCTGCAATGGCTTGGCAAGTTGTGAGTTGTTTGCGACACAAACAGTCTTTACTGATCCCTGCGTTGGCACGTATAAGTACCTCACAGTCTCCTATTTTTGCCTCCCAACTGCACTCCGTGAGTATCCCTCAACATGTCTACTTCCAATTCACTTTGATCCAGGAAGTGTTTGAGCTAATGGTGAAATATTTAGTTATTTGTCTCCTGTTCACCAGCGACGCACAAACCAGTCACCACCAGACATGCTTTTCAAAAGCATGATCACTTTACACAAGCTCAAGCCTTTTATTTGAAAGACTACTACTCACTTTACTAATGATCTAACATCCTCTGTTTTCTGTAGGTTCAAGTGTGATCTGCGAAAATGCAAATGCTACTCTGAAATGTGGTGTGTATAATGCTACATGAATGTTGCTTAAAGTTGAATTGTTTTTAGAGCAAGTTGATTTTGAAGCTGAATTGTTGTCGTTTTTAGAGCCAGGGACTGTCATTAACGTTCACACTGCTAACTATGGGCGAACTGATCGCAGCACATGTTCTATCAGAAAACCTGCTTCTCAGACTGCCAAAACAGACTGCTACTCCTCAAACTCCCTGGCAATGGTTACTGATGAGTGAGTTTATTCTTTTTATAAATTCAGTTTAAATGCAGTGTTTTTTTTTTTTTCATAGAACCTTGACCGACTTATTTCTCTTATTTCTCCCTTTTTATAGGTGTGAAGGAATCAATAGCTGTGACCTAGTAGCCTCCAATGGTGTCTTCTCAGATCCATGTTTCGGCACATTCAAGTTTCTGTATGTCTCTTACAGCTGTGTAGATGACTAAGTGTTACTGTCTAGTGAAATTGCTGGGGTTTTTTTTGTACAACCTTGTTTTTAGGATTATTCAAGACGCTAGATTGTTAGCTCGCTTCATGATTCGTTTTCTTTCTTGGAGAATACAGTGTCTGGACTTGTGGAATTTAGCTTCAAACCTATTTCAAAGTTGTTTCTTTGCAATAAATGCCTTGGAAGACATTTGTTCTTGTTGGAGTGCTTCCTAGTAGTTTGATCATTTCACAAACCATCACGTACACCAGTTATACTGCAAAGTAAAACAAATGCCAGCAAATATAACTAGCCTAAATATGCTATATTTTATTTTTGCTCTAACTGTTTGTAGTGTGAGGGAAACATTTGGGAAACTGTTCCCATTCAAATTGTACCACTGATCAATTTATAAAAAGCTTGTAACGGAGGCATGACCATCTCTTGAACTAACCATACCCCCCTTAGTCGACTCAACTTTTGTAGCACTTATACATTGAAATTGTTTAATGGTGCAAATGGATAAATGCTGCTTTAGCACAGCTCTAAAGAGAAAGTGGTATTCATTGTTCAGTGATTCAGTTCAATAACTGTAAAGATCTATGAAATTAGTTCAATTCAACTAAAGCAGCTCTGTAGAAAATTGTGATCATTACTTGATCTCTTCCGCAAAATCCGCATCAACATGGTTTTCATAGGACAAAACCCAGAAATGAGTTGGTATCTTAGTACTTTGGGCTCCATTGTCCTGAAGTCATGGGTTGTATGAAATGATGTTTTGGTTAAATGCCTGAAAGTCTTTGGTGAACACGTGCTCAAGATGTTTTCATGTTTTATTTTATGGAATAAATGCATCAGTAATACCCTCCTGTTAAGCTTTTACTTGTCTCAAGAGGCAGTTGTTAAGTGGCTAAATGGGCCTGCAGAGGTTGTTGGGGATATTTAAATGTCATCACACCAAACAAGTAAACTCACCTAGTCGGCTTTAACAGCCTCATTATTTAACTGTGGTATTGCAAATTATTCTAACTCAGCCTTTAAAATACATTTTCCTTAAGTTTGAGTTCAGAAGCTTAATGGTGTATTTTGCTTATGGGCAAGTTTATTTATATAGCACATTTCATACACAATGGTAATTTCAAAGTGCTTTACAGAAAAGGAATTAAGTTCCAATCTTTTTTTTAAACCCATCTGGAATGGAAGAAATGGAGTCAGATTTGCAATTTTACACTAGACATGCTCATTCTAGTGTCAACTTTCGTGGGAGTGTTTGCGCACAATTCACTGCCTGCCATACAGGTGATACTCAAATTTAGAATATCGTGCAAAAGTTCATTTCAGTAATTAAACTTTAAAAGGTGAAACTAATATATTATTTAGACTCATTACATACAAAGTGAGATTTCAAGCCTTTTGTTATAATTTTAATTATGGCTTACAGCTATGAGAACATCAAATTCAAAATTAGAATATTGTGAAAAGGTTTTCATAGCTGTAAGCCATAATCAATTATTACAAATATTGGCTTGAAATCTCACTTTGCATGTAATGAGTCTGTTTAATATATTAGTTTCACCTTTTAAGTTGAATCAATCAAATAAATGAACTTTTGCACAATATTAATTTTTTGGGTTTCACTTGTATATGGCTTCAGTGCTCCCAATTAGAGTGCAACTTTGTTGTCCGCCAGAGCAGATTTACACGGATCTTCTGCACCCAGAGGGAATGACTACTACAAAATATTTGTTGAGTTATTGTTAAACTACCCTTGAAGACAAATCTTCCTGGTCCCACCAGGATGTAAAGCCCCAAATGCTTAAACCGACAGCCTTAATGAAATCTTCCTACCAATAAATAAAATCTTAGCCAAAAATTAAGAACAAGGATATTTAAAACGGTTATTAAAAGAATAAAAAGATGATACTGTACATAGATGAACAATTTAGATTCAAAAGGAGGGTGCAAAAATAAAATAGTGCAATCAGTCGGACGTATTACAGTACTCATTAAGTAAATGCACAGCTAAACGAATGTGTTTTGAGTATGGTTTTAAATGTGACTACTGTTGAAGCACATCTGATCTCTTCTGGAAGCTGATTCCAGTTATGGGGGGCATAATAGCTAAAAGCGGACTCACCGTGCTTTGAGTGAACCCTTGGTATTTCTAGCTAATGTGTTCTGAGTGATCTGTTTATATTCAGTGATTCTGCAATGTATTGAGGTCCAAGGCCATTGAGTGATTCATAAACAAACAATAATACTTTAAAATCAATCCTAAATGTAACTGTAAAGACCCGAGGACTGGTGTAATATGTTCATATTTTCTGGTTCTGCTTAGAATCCTGACAGCAGCGTTCTGTATGAGCTGCAGCTGTCTTATGGTCTTTTTGGGAAGGCCAGTGAGGAGTTCGTTAAAATAGTCCACCCTTCTGGTGATAAAAGCATAAACGAGTTTCTCTAAGTCTTGTCTGGAAACAAAGCATCTAATTAGTGCAATATTTTTGTGATGATAGTATGCTGATTTAATTATTGCTTTGACATGACTACTGAAACTAAGGTATGACTCCAAAATTACACCAAGATTCCTGACTTAATTTTTAGTTTGTTTGACCCCTAGCATCAAGGTATGCGTTCACCTTGAGAACTTTATCTTTGTGTCCAAATGCAATGACTTCATTTTTGTCTTTGATGAAGTTAACAGTTGGATGTGTGCCAAAACTTTCTTCAGTTAAACAATGCATTGGCACAGGGAGTCAATGGGGCTGTAGTCGTTAGGCAATAGGGCAAAGCAGATCTACTTAGCCCTGTCGCCTAACGACTGCAGCCCCATTGACTGATCTTCTGATCTTCATAGCTGGTAATCTTGTGGTAATCTGATCTTCATAGCTGTGGTAAGCAATTTGGTTCTTTCTCATTATTTGGCTCAGTGGGAGCATATACAGGTTGAACAAGAGCGGTGCAAGAATTGAGCCTTGAGGGACTCCACATGTCATTGACGTCCACTCAGACTTATGGTCACCTATACTCCCATAATAACCTTTCCCTTCTAAGTATGACCTGAATCATTTTAGGACCATCCCAAAAAGCCCGACCCAGTTTTCCAGCCTGTCAAGAAGTATGTCGACTGTGTCAAATGCAGCACTGAGGTCGAGTAGTACCAGCATTGATATTTTTCCTGTATACATTTTTAAGCGAATATAATTTATTATCTTAATGAGCTGTGCTGTGATGTGGTCGGAAACCAGATTGAAAATTGTCAAAGTATCCATTTAAGCTTAAGAATTTATTCAGCTGATTGAAAACAACTTTTCCAATGATCTTGCCTATGAAAGGAAAATTTGAGATTGGTCTGTTGCTCAGTATGGTGTTATCCAGATTGCTCTTTTTCAGGAGGGGCTTAACTACTGCAGTTTTTATGGGGACTTTGGAAAAGTCCCAGAAAGAAGTGAGGCGTTTGACCTGTTTAGAAGCAGATCTCCTAGAAGTGGTAAACACATTTTTGAAAAAAAAAGATGTGGGACTGGGAAGTGTGTCAAGGGTTGATGTTTTTAGGTGCTTAACTGTTTCTTCCAAAAAATAATTTTTTGGGGGGGGTTAGTCTTTCAACAATTGCAAAAAGAGTGCGCGTGTTTAAGTTGCTGTTTATAATATTTTTGAAGGTCTGTCTAGCTTTTCCTAGTTCCACATTGAAAGCATGAAGGAAGTCTTTATAGATGTTATAATGAACTACAAGTTCTGTCTAGCTTTGCCTAGTTCCACATTGAAAGCATGAAGGCTGTCTTTATAGATGTTATAATGAACTACAAGTTTTGTCTTCCGCCACATACGCTCAGTTTTTCTGCATTGTCTTTTCATATTTTGCACTGGTGTTGTGTTTCTCCAAGGTGCTTTTTTCTGCCACTATTCTTCCTGACTTTCACAAGAGCAATATCTTAAATTACACTCTTAACTTTTGAGTTAAAGGAATCAAGGAGAAAATCAGAGTCCGCGGATATGCTTGGTGTTAAAGATATAGCCTTCATAAATAGCACACTAGTGTTCTCATTTAAGCATCTCTTCTTGAGAGACAGATCTAGCTTCAGTAGTAGGAGAGATCAATATATCAAAGAAAATACAGAAACGATCAGACCGTGCCACATCCTTAACAATCGATGAAATTTTTAGACCCTGATCAGTAAATCTAGAGTGTTTCCACGATTGTGTGTGTGGGTCCATGTACATGCTGAGTCAGATCAAAAGTGTTAATGCAGAAATCGATACAGCAAAAACACTTATCTACACTCACCTAAAGGATTATTAGGAACACCATACTAATACTGTGTTTGACCCCTCTTCAGAACTGCCTTAATTCTACGTGGCATTGATTCAACAAGGTGCTGAAAGCATTCTTTAGAAATGTTGGCCCATATTGATAGGATAGCATCTTGCAGTTGATGGAGATTTGTGGGATGCACATCCAGGGCACGAAGCTCCCGTTCCACCACATCCCAAATATGCTCTATTGGGTTGAGATCTGGTGACTGTGGGGGCCATTTTAGTACAGTGAACTCATTGTCATGTTCAAGAAACCAATTTGAAATGAGTCAAGCTTTGTGACATGGTGCATTATCCTGCTGGAAGTAGCCATCAGAGGATGGGTACATGGTGGCCATAAAGGGATGGACATGGTCAGAAACAATGCTCAGGTAGGCCGTGGCATTTAAACGATGCCCAATTGGCACTAAGGGGCCTAAAGTGTGCCAAGAAAACATCCCCCACACCATTATACCACCACCACCAGCCTGCACAGTGGTAACAAGGCATGATGGATCCATGTTCTCATTCTGTTTACGCCAAATTCTGACTCTACCATCTGAATGTCTCAACAGAAATCGAGACTCATCAGACCAGGCAACATTTTTCCAGTCTTCAACTGTCCAATTTTGGTGAGCTCTTGCAAATTGTAGCCTCTTTTTCCTATTTGTAGTGGAGATGAGTGGTACCCGGTGGAGTCTTCTGCTGTTGTAGCCCATCCGCCTCAAGGTTGTGCGTGTTGTGGCTTCACAAATGCTTTGCTGCATACCTCGGTTGTAACGAGTGGTTATTTCAGTCAAAGTTGCTCTTCTATCAGCTTGAATCAGTCGGCCCATTCTCCTCTGACCTCTAGCATCAACAAGGCATTTTCGCCCACAGGACTGCCGCATACTGGATGTTTTTCCCTTTTCACACCATTCTTTGTAAACCCTAGAAATGGTTGTGCGTGAAAATCCCAGTAACTGAGCAGATTGTGAAATACTCAGACCGGCCCGTCTGGCACCAACAACCATGCCACGCTCAAAATTGCTTAAATCACCTTTCTTTCCCATTCTGACATTCAGTTTGGAGTTCAGGAGATTGTCTTGACCAGGACCACACCCCTCAATGCATTGAAGCAACTGCCATGTGATTGGTTGATTAGATAATTGCATTAATGAGAAATTGAGCAGGTGTTCCTAATAATCCTTTAGGTGAGTGTATGTGAATATTAAAATCCACAGCAATAGCAAAACAGTCAAACTCTACCGAGCTGTTATCAACACTTTCATCAAGGTCCTCAACAAAGGCTGGAGAGTATTTTGGAGGCCTGTAAATAATAAGTAGAATGCGTGAAACACCTTTTAACACAATACCCAGATATTCGAATGAAAACTAATCACCAAATGACTTTATCATTGAGGACTGTTGCACTGCAGCTGTCTTCTTGCCACGTTTCATTTAGAAACATAAAATCCAGGTTGTTTGTGGTTAAGTTGTTGACTAGGAGTGATTTATTTTTAAGTGAGCGAATGTTTATAAGTGCTAACTTAACAGTCTAACCTTTTGAGCAGTGGTTGTTGTGGCTGCTTGGTGTTATCTTTGTCCTTGTGGGATGTGTCAACCGGATGTCCATTCAGGTGCTGAATTGCTGTGGTCATTCATACACTGTCCAGGTGTGTGTGTGCCATTCAGGTTGACTGGATTGGCACACACTGCCGAAGGATGATGGAGAGAGAAGTAGATATTGTCCTTTAGCACTCTTGCACCAAGTTTGTTTGGGTGGAGACCATCCTGTTGAAACAGTTGTCTCTGACTCCAGAAAAGATTGAAGTTCACTCCTTTTATGTTGCAGGTTAAGCCCAAGTAAAAACCTGTTTGTTCCCCTTGCTGGGAGTGGTCCACGAATGAATGGCTGAACTTCTTCTATGGAAGAACGGTCTTCTAAGTGTTTCAAAAAGTTCATTGAAATTCCCCATGAGGAGTTCTGACTGCTCTTTCCGAATTTCATTCTTTCCCACATGCTTGATAAGTCGATTTGCAGTCTTAGGGAACTTCAGACCATTCTGATGAAACATGTTTACATCAGAAACTGTTGCTTGTGGAAGGCAGCATGTAGCTGTCCTACTACTAATGTTTCTGATTATGGAGTCACCCACTATCAGAGTCCTATGCTCGGCTGCGTTCTGAGCTGAGTGCCGCTGTCTGCTCAATCTTGAGCGGCAGTTAGCATCAGTGTTAGGTACTGGCTGATTTGATCTATGTCTGATCATGTTTGGGGATTCCTCACCTACATTCATCACCTCTGGGGATTCCTCACCCACATTCATTAATACTTCAAATCTGTTCTTAAGACGTATAGGCGATGGTAGGAAACCAGTGTTTGCAATCCTTGTCATAGCCGTATCTGGGGTAGAGGATGTTACTGCAGCAATATGTGATTCTCGTGACAATCTGACAATCTTGCTCCCTGTTTGTTCCATTGATTAGTGTGTTGATCAGTTACGGTTTGTTTCTCTACACAGTATGGCCTGTTGAGGAGCGCTAGATTCATGGGACTCACCGGCTGTATGCTGAGGGCATCCATGACTAAGCTCGGTTGTGTGTTCCGTCTGGTAGTCCCGCAAGTAACTTTGTTTCAAGAACCTCAATGCTTTGTAGAAGTCTGTGGCAGTTTGTGCAGCAAGTAGATTCCAGAAGAGACATCCCTTTTCAGGAGAGTAAGCTGATGGCTGCTGTCCGTGGGAGGCTGTTTGGATAATAAAAATCCCCCCTTTTTGTAGTAATCTTCCAGTCACAAGCTTTGCTAAGCTTTGTCGTTTGATTACTGTGCTGATTTTCTGAAGTTAAAATTAGGAGATAAAATATAAAAGCGGTAGAGTAAAGCACGGAGCAGTAAGCAAGAGAGTCCGAACAGTAGCTAAGCTGGAAGCAGGAGGGTATAGCCTACGATTAGTGTTTTACTTCTGGAGATTGTTTTAGGCTTCAAAATTCATTTGATTCTTAAGATTATCCTGATGAGCAAAACATGCAAGAATCAAAAACTTAGCTGGTCACAAACATTTTTAAATAAAAGATTGCAAGTTGCCAGTAGCTTCTGGCTTAGTGCTGACATTGTGAGCTTGGTCATGTGCCCGTTCAATTGTGAATTCTTAAACAACCTGTAAGAATCAAACGTTTGTCACAGAGCTTATTTTCTGCTAGAAGTTTCCATCCCCCAAAGTTGATTAAGAATATACCTTTCGGGCAATTTCAAAGATTACGTAGAATTTGTGACAAAGAGCAATATTTCGAGGACAAAGCTAAGGGTATGGAAAAACGATTTTTAAATAGAGGGTATAAGTTTAAAACTATTCAAAAAAGCTAAGATACGTGCAAAAGATATGACAAGGGAAGATTTGTTAAAGAGAAAAACAAGAGCAGAGAGATCTAACAAAGTCTATTTTGTGACTAAATACAGTACAGTCGCTGAAAAAATTAAAATAATTATTTAAAAAAATTAGGGCATTTTACAAAGTGACAAATTAGTTCATAGCTATTTACCACCCACTCGTGGAAGCTCCTGGTTAGGGGTTAAACCTAAGGCTTGCTTTAAATGCCATCACTGTAATCATTGTGATAATGTTATACAAAATAAAACGTTTCTAGATGTACAGGCAAACAAGATCTATTCTATTAAACATTTTATTGTCAAACTACTCATGCAATTCATAGACTGGAATGTCCTCAATGTAAAGTATTTTACATTAGAAGAACAAATAGACAGTTATTGGATCGATTGGCTGAACATAAATATGCAATGAAGAATATCCTTTGGCAAGACATTTTAAATGAATGCATAACAGTAACCCTTCTATCCTGAGAATATTAGGTTTTGATCATGTGAACAGTACAGTACTATCAGGAAATTGAATAGAGAACTTAAACTGAATCAGAGGGAGACATTTTGGATTTATAAATTAAAGGCCAATAAATATCCAGAATTGAACGAAGACTTGGATTTTACTCCTTTCTTTTGATGTCCTTTATTTTTTGTGGTGCTTTTGAAAATGTATTGGTGAATGTTTAATGCTGCAAAGAGATGTTGATCACATGACAACTGTTAACCTATCAGATGTCTTAATGAATGAAACTGCTTGCACCTGTGACTGAGATTGTTGTGTTGCTCTCCCTGAGGAAGGCATGGGCCGAAACGTGTTGGAGAGTTTTTAGAGTTTTTGTATGTAGCCATCTGACAATAAAGGCTTTTTAATTTTAAAGAGTGCCATGGTCATCCTAAAGTTTCCTTTGATGGAAAACTTAAAATAGGGCTGTGCCGGTCAACTTAACCACGGGTGGTGGTACACCAAAACAGCTTTTCGTATGTGAATGATGTTTTATGTGAACATTACCACACGAGTGAAGCACACACCTTTTTCCAAAATAAATAATAGGTTAGCAATTTAATGTTACATCACAACCATGGAAACATTTGGATTTGTGCTGAATGAGAGAAGTACATTAGCCCATACATTTATAATATAATAGTAACATTTCCCTGTAGGTTTGTGAGATCCAGCCATTGGAAAGATACATGCTCTTTATTGTCTTTATTAGGCTAATTAATCTTATGAAAAATGAAAACTTCCACAAGCACAAATACATTCAACATAAATGGGCAAGTTTGACCAAATCTCAATTGTTTTACCAAATTTAGAGGCTGCCATTATGATCTCACAAAGTCTATCTGGATATCTTTTCAGAAATTGCTTCAGGATTCGTAATCACAGAGTATATAGGCTCATCTTGTGGTCTGGTTAGGCTCTTACTTATGTGCAAAGCAATCGGGATATACAGGTCATTGTGGTCACAAGTTCCTTATATCTACTGAAGGAATTGAATATAACTCTGCTCAAACGATCTGAACATGAAGAGGTGAATGTATTTGAGTTAGTGATGCAGAGAACATCACAATCACAATGACAATTTAAGTTCCGCTTCCCCCAACAAACTGAAACCCATTTAGTATGTTATAACACAGTTCATCTCATCAGACAGATCCTCCTCGAGGCGTCCTATTGGTTGCCCTGTCCTCCCTTGACTTAGAAGGTCAGTTGCAGCGCTCTCCATTTCGTCAATAGTCATGTGACAGGCACCTGCAATTTCCCGTTTTGCAAAGTCAACAAATTTGGGGTCTTTTGCATATAGACCCAAGCCTTCAGAGATCAGGATCTAAAAGATACAAAAAAAGAAGACCACAGAAGATGGATCAGATTTATTTACACTACAACCAGCTGAAATCCAACGACTACACACTATTTATGTCTGCTGAAAGCAGTTTGTTGCACTGGTAATTAAGGTGTGTCATATTAAATGGGGTTTAAAGTTTTGTATTCAGAATTATTGAAGATCAGTTGTTGTTTTTTTCACTTTAAAGTGGTCATGAAATGCATTCACATCTTTTCATTTCTGGAGGTTAGCTTATACAGTTGTTTTGCATCAAAATGTTCAAATATTTGTAATAGACTTTTTGATCATATGATCATTTAATATCATCTGTTGTGACATTAGATGAACAAACAAAAACAATCTTGTTCAATTGCTCAGGCACTTAAAAAAATAAACTTGTAACTATATTGTAAATAAACCATCCACATATTTCTAATAGTTTGATCTTTTGGAAGGGAGTCTTTCTCTGTACCACTCTTGTGATGTTATGTTAAGATGTTAAGTCATGTTAAGAGCAAGCCACCTTGATTTAAAAATGCATGTCAATGGGGTGTAGAAGAAAATTGTGACATCACAACTTCAAATGTGAATTTCAAAGCCTGGCATTTCAGAAGGATGGAAAACAAAAAACTCATATTTTTGGACTGGGGAGTTAGCTTTGAGGTATGAAACTTGCATGTTTTTATTTTAGAGCAACCTCTTATATGTGTAAATATCAAGGACATTTTGATTTTCCATTTCATGACCCCTCTCAAGTTTCTTTTTCTGTGGATCAAAGTAAAAAAATAAAGTCTATGATTCACTGCTGTACAAAAACAAAGTCCAGCTTGAATCGTTTTTATAGCCACTGAACCTGCATAAATAACAACTATCCTTATTACTTCGGGTTATTTGATACACCGCTCAGGAAGCTCATTTACCGACTCCACAAGGCTGTCAGCGCTTCCCTTCTCGATGTATCCGGAACTGTGTTGGGAGGGCACTCTGAGAGTGGTGTACGCCCGAGGCTGCTGGGCTACACCTGCCATTCCACTGCTAATCCACCCGGGACGGGCCGACGCCGGCAGGCTGGCGCTGCCATTGGCGTCACCCCACATTGCCTGAGTGCCCCCCATCTCGTTCACTAGAATAAGGGGGGCATAGAGGAGAGGACCCCGCCTGGCCTGGTTGTTCACCCAAGAGGCCGAAGAAACCGCAGATGAAATGCTGCTCCGCCGTGAGTCGAAGCTGTTTTGCGTCTGTGGGAGCACATACATTATTTTCATTATTGGTGTTAAAACAGTGAAACAGAAATTTGTCATTAGCAGAATTTAATGGTTTATTATTTTAATTTTGCACAATGTTGATTTTGTGTTAATGGTAAATTGCTGGCGTATTCTCCAAATTATGATATATCTTATTCTATATATTAATTCTAGGTTGGATCATAGTGTTGGTATCAAAGGTATTGCTCTAGAGTGGTTTAGGTCATATCTGTCTGATAGGAAGTTTTCTGTTTGCCTTGGAGACTTTGTATCCCCACAGGCACCTTTTACTTGTGGAGTCCCCCAGGGGTCTATTCTTGGCCCGATGCTGTTTTCCTTATACATCCTTCCTTTAGGGTCTATCCTAAGAAAACATGGCATTTCGTTTCACTGCTATGCAGACGACACACAACTTTATCTGCCTATGAAACGAAAGGATACCAGCTCCTTAAAATTATTGTTGGACTGTCTCACAGACATTAAAGCTTGGATGGCCATGAATTTTTTACATTTTAACGAGAGTAAAACAGAAATTGTGATATTTGGCCCAAAGTACCCATGTGGCCCGCGACACATAATTAGGTTCCTTACTTTCGTACGTTAAATCATCTGTTAAAAACTTGGGAGTAATCATGGACAGTGATTTTAAACTTGAAAACCAGATAAATTCTGTGGTTAAAGCCAGTTCTCTTACGAGAGGCTTCTCGTATTGCGTAAGCTAGCTTTCGCAATTTTTGTATAAGGTCAGAGAGGTAGGTCGGGGCTAGACCATTTAAGGATTTATAAGCAAACACTAACATTTTAAACTCAATCCTAAAATGTACTGGAAGCCAGTGAAGGGAGGCCAGTATAGGCGAAATGTGATCACGTTTACGTAAGCCTTTTAATAGTCTAGTTGCAGTATTCTGCACCAACTGCAGGCGTGAGAGAGATGCCTGGCTGACACCAGCATAGAGGGCATTACAATAGTCCAATCTAGAGGAGATAAAAACATGTATAACTCTTTCAAGGTCTTTGAATGACAACAGGGGTTTCACTTTAGATAAGAGCCTTAACTGATAAAAACGAATCGGTTACCTAACGTAACCTCGGTTCTCTCTAGATGAGGGAACAAGTATTGCGTAAGCTAGCTTACCATTCACCCTCTGGCGTTACACTTCAAAGCATGGGAAGCTATCCCAGGGATATCCAAATGGGTGTTAAGCACGATAAAACAGGGCTATTTGCTACAGTTCGATCGCCGCCCTCCCCGCTTCCGAGCGCGGCTCGAAACTACTGTGAACACGGAAGCAGCCTGCATGCTTCGTTCACAAATAGCAAACCTTCTGTGCAAAAGGGCCATAGAGAGAGTGCCGCCTTCTCTGAGCGAGTCGGGGTTTTACAGCCGTTATTTTCTTGTCCCCAAGAAAGAGTGATTTTTGAACAAGGTGCTTGCGAAAAGACCGTTCAAAATGCTCACAGTCAGGAAACTCCTCGCGCACGTGCGCCAGGGGGACTGGTTTATTTCTCTCGATCTGAAAGATGCCTACTTTCAGATTCAGATAAATCCCTGTCACAGGCCATTCTTGAGATTCGCCTTCAACGGTCAGGTTTATCAATACACCGTCCTTCCGTTCGGCCTGTCCCTAGCACCCCGTACTTTCCCGAAGTGCATGGATGCGGCGCTCGCACCCCTGCGGAGCCAAGGCTTGCGAATCTTGAACTATTTGGACGATTGGCTGATTTTGGCACAATCACACACGGAGCTTCTGTCCCACAGGACAGTTCTCCTCAGTCATCTGAACAGCTTGGGTCTCACAGTCAATTGGACCAAGAGCTCACTACAGCCCAGTCAGGCAATTTCCTTCCTTGGAATAGAACTAGACTCCGTGGCTATGACGGCTCGCTTATCAACACAGCGCGCGCGCCGAGTTCAGCGACTAGCTCATCTGCGCTCTCTGCCTGGGACTGGAGCATGCAGAGCTCGCCCTCGCTGACGGCGGATGCGACCTCTGCGAGGAGCTTCCGATGTCGACCCTGCAGGCTCGACTCGAAGCATTCAAAACCGAAGCCGCCGCGCCGCCTTTCGTCTCGCCACGCAAAAAGAAGCGCCGCTCCCAAAGACTGCCAGAACCGGTGTTGGAAGCGACTGTCTTGCCGGAGCCTCTCCCTCGAGCCTCGCTTTCACCCCCCCCCGCCCCCCCCGGACGCGCAGTTGCCGCCGAGCGGCCGCACTCCTGCCATCTCGGATAACGAGGCGGAGGAAAAGGACTGCTGTTCCTTCATGGCTTCGGACAGCGAGGAGTGGTCAGGCTCCCTCGCCTCCTCCTCGGCCCAGGAATCCAGCAGGACCCGCGCCGGAGTCGAAGAGGAACTAATGCGCCTCCTCACACAGGCCGTCGACCGCCTCGGGCTCGAGTGGTCACCGCCCTCTGAGCAGGCTCCCAACAGACTCGACAGCGGTTTTCTCCAGAGCCGTCGCCACGGCCCTTCCTGCCGGAACTCCACGCCGAGCTCACTAAGTCGTGGAGCGCGCCTCTCTCGGCTAGGACCCAGTCCCATGCCTCCACCTCTCTCTCTTCGGTGGACGGCGCCGCCGAGAAGGGCTACTCTTCCATCCCCCCGGTCGAGGATTCGGTAGCAGCACACCTTTACCCGCCCTCTGCGAGATGGCGGTCTAAGCCTGTGCTCCCGTCTAAGGCCTGCAGAACTACTTCCGCCTGTGTTGGCCGCGCCTATGCCGCCGCCGGCCAAGCCGCATCCGCTCTGCATTCCATGGCCAGCTTGCAGATCCTCCAAGCGGACCTTCTTCGGGAGTGGGATGAGAAAGGCAGGCACCCAGAGGCTGTTTCAGACCTCGTGTCGAGGTAAAATGGAGACATGAAAGTAGGCGTCCTTCAGGTCTATCGCTGCAAACCAATCCTGTGGCCGCACGCATTCGAAAATGCGTTTGGTCGTGAGCATCTTGAACGGCAGCCTGTGAAGGGAGCGGCTCAAGACGCGCAGATCCAGGATTGGCCGTAACCCACCGGTCTTCTTGGGGACAATGAAGTACGGGCTGTAAAACCCTGACCTCATTTCGGCTGGAGGGACAGTCTCGATTGCACCCTTCGCCAGCAGGGTGGCAACCTCCGCTCTCATGATCGGGGCATTGCCACCGACCAAAGTAAACGGACTCCCCTGAAGCGGGGAGGAGACCATGCGAATTGGATCGCATAGCCGAGCCTGATAGTTCGGGCGACCCAGCGGGACAGGTAGGGAAGCTCTAACCAAGCTCCCAAGAACTGAACCAGCGGAAACATCCGAACGACAGACGTCCCCCCGGAGGGGCAGCGAAGCAGAGTGACCGGCCCAGGCGTGGGTGGCATAGCGGCCCGGTGCGGGGGCACGGTCATGCTCCGCGTCCTGACAGAGGAGACCAGGGAAGGACCAGCGTTCCACGGGGGTCTGCTCTGCCAGGGGTCTGGCGACAGAGGGGGACGAGAGTGGTGTGGTCCGGAGACGGCACACACTGTCATCCGCGCCCTCAGAGACAGAGGGGGACGAGAGCGGCAAGGCCCGGGAGCGTCGCGCACTGTCGTCCGGCCCTCTGAGGGCTCAGAGATGAGATGCAGCTCTTTGGTTTAGAAAGATTCTCCCCCAGCCCTCCACCGGGGGAAGGAGTGGCCCTGCAACCACTCCCTGAAGAACTGCAACCCACATCTGAGCTGCCCGTAACGGGAGCCCCGCAAGCCTGGCCTTGGCGGGGCTGCGGGACCGGTACGGGCAGGGGCGCCTTCCTGCGACCACCTCCACGGCGCGGCCCGGTGCTGCTGGGGGCCGGGCGGGAGGGGGCGGAAGTCGCAGGAGGGCGCATTCGGCAGCAAGCGGACTGAGGCGTCTGAGCCGGCAGCTGGAGGCAGCAAAGCCGCCGGGTCAGACAAAATAGCCACAGTCCACTTCTATGCGGCCGAGAACTGTTGGGCAGAGTCCTCGACCGCGCCGCCGAAGAGGCCAGCCTGGGATATGGGGGAGTTGAGGAAACGAAATCACTCAGCCTCGCGCACATCAACCAGGTTAGCCAGAGGTGTCTGACCACCTATGTGGACATCACCTGACTCAGGGAGCGTGCGGTCACCTACGTCGCTCGGAGAGCAAGGTCGGTGACGGCAGGCAGCTCAAGGATGAGCCCTGAATCAGCCCTACCCTCGTGCATGTCATTGAACACCCAGGAGGATGGCAATAACACGCAGTGAGGTGGCAGCCTGCCCCGCAGCTCTATAGGTCCCCGCCACCGGAGTAGACAAGAACCTACAGGCATTGGAGGGGTGCTTAAGAGTCGCCACGCCAGGTGGAGGCGCTGTGGGGACACATAAGTGTTGCCACAGAACACTCCACAGGGGGAACCCCAGTGCACCCTAGGCCACGGCCTCTACAAGGGCAGAGAAGGCGGAAGAGGCCACTGAGCAGTCGTGAAAAGTCAAGGAGACTTCCACGACCTCATGATCTCTTCATGCACGTCCGGGTAGAAAGGATTTGGGTTCGCCACCCCCAAAAACCAATCACCCGGGAAGCATAGCTGTGCACTCTGGATCAAACTCGTTATGCTAGCACATCTGAGGACGGCAGCACAGACGAGCCATCATCTCTAGAGGACTCCAGCTCACCTTGTGATGCGGTGATACATGATTTCATCAGCCGGGGGACCGAATGAGACCGCGGGCCCGCGGGCGGGCCGGCGAACTCACCTGGGACCACGCAGGTTGCAATGTGAAAGACGGGGTGTGGACCGAGGAATTTTTAGTCGGTTTAGTTCCAAACCTGCCGTCTTAGGTCACCCTGGCCACCAGCCGAAGTATTATCTCACGTGGAGAAAAATAGATCGGGGTGTGGATGAGGGGACTCTCACTCATTGAGCTCATCGAGTCTCGACCGTTACATTGCGATGGTCACGTTCAGAATGTGACACACTCACGAGCGCTGTCTGAGCGCGATCAAAGCCCAAACACTCAAAACAGCGCTCGCGCCCATCAGCTGAATCTATCAGAATACCACACTCAGAAAAACACGGGCAGATCGTCTTTAGAAAGACGCGTCTTTAAAAAGACGTGCCGCGTGCAGCTCTTTAGTGAGAGGAAAAACTCTGCGGATGTTGAAGCGACCAGGGAGAACACACAGACTGGCAGACCACTGCTCAGCTCGCAGGCAATGTGAAACTCGCTGGATACCGCCGTCACACCAACACCGGAGAGTTCGCTCGTCTCAAAGAGATGTAGTCACTGAGAAAACTCAGAATTTGGCTTGTGGAGTGAAGAGATGCTCTTGGCTCCGAAGCGAAAACATGATCTGCTGTTGCAGGTGTCTCTCCTTAAATACCCACGCGGTGGGGCGGAGATACATTATGCAAATTCCGCAGACCCATGGCATTTCATTGCCATAGGCTCGTTTTTTAATACTCGAAGATGATAGGCTTTCTGGCGAAACCCCCATTCTCCGTCATCCGACTTAACTCGGAGTGACTACGAAAGGGAACTTATTTATTTTCCTTGGCTTTTACTTCAGTCTGAGAGCTGTGTGTCTTGTCTTCTCGTTGTCATTTTATTTGTGCTGTTTATTTTATGATTTTGGATGTATAGCACTTTGGTCAACTTCTGTTGTTTTAAATGTGCTCTAGAAATAAACTTGACTTTGACTTATATGATACTTCATTATGATACTTCGAAAAAATCTTTTCAACCCTGTAAAGCCTGAGATATAAAGAAATATGTCCGAACATTTATCTAATTGGTACAATTTTAAAATGAAATGTATTTTTTAAAATGTTTTTTTAATTACAAATATTTTTGCATACTTGTTGTGTTATATTTGATACATTAGGCTTTTATTGTAATTTATAGATGGAAAAGTATTTTTCTTCATAAAATGTTTTCATTTTTTATCATAATAAATAATCTATTTTGGCATGTGGTAGTCAAAAAATTAACTTGAGCAGTGACAAGATAAATATATTGTAAATATAAATGTAAACATTTATATTATATGTAACATTTATATTATATATAGATTATTTATATAAATGTGAATATAACATTATTCAATCTATATTAGTTGTTATTAGAGCAAATCAACAAGGTAGAGCATGCTGCATTTATAATAAAGAAAATAGATATAACTATTAGGTCTCATTCTAACACTGATTTTAATTCATTTAATTGAATGATTAATATACTTAAAATGCTTGCTGTATCACACCATGTCCAAACTACACGCGACGCAAGTATATTAAACGGTGTAATATTTTTGAATTTGATTATGTAGCCTACTTATCCATTTTCTTATGAGTCCCGTCAAGATTACTCTGGTGCTGTGCACTTGCCGTGAGACTCCGCCCACACGCTGTTCTGATTGGCTGTGGGTTTTGATTGATTTTGACGCATATCAAGGTCGCGTTACGTCTATTGTGGACAGACAAATGATTTGTCGCTGGAATCTTATCGTATCGCGTCTGGTTAGGACATGTGTCATGTTTGATATATTTAATATTGAATGAAAAATTGTTGAAAATGTGAGTTGCTTAAATCCACTAAATATTAATTTTGAAATATCAATAAAGTTATTCTTAGTGTTACTTTATTCAAATTATCAAAGATTTCTCAATAAAAATATGTATGCATATCTTTTTGGATAATCCACCAGAAGACATGTAGTAGAGTTTTTCAGGAAATACTGATTGTTGTAGGCCTCAAATGTTGTTGAGGCCTATCATGTTGTTGAGGCCTATCATGTTGTTGAGGCCTTGTCAGGTTTTATCGGGTCAGTGGGTTATCCCTGTTGGCGTTGGTCAGCACTTGTTTTTGCCAATTGAACATGTTAAATCTCCGATTGTTGGGTCAATGTCTGAGAAGTGACGTACAGTCTTCTGGTGATAGTCAGTGTTGGTTGGTGTCCTTTTGTGCAGCCTATAAAGATACAATTCCAAATCTGGAGAAAAGTTACCTGTATTCGTGCCCTACAGGGTGGGGAATTTTGGCGGTAAGTGCCTGGGATTGGGAGATCCTCATTGCTGCCCTGCCTTCTCAAACACTGGATGTTAAAGCTTGGCTTTCGGCCTGACAGATACAGGGAAAAGTAATCAATGTTAGGTTCACTGAAAGGTTTAACACATTCTTTTTTTGCAGTGCAGAAAGATAACAGTTGGATTTACCTAAGGGAGTTGGGGGAAGCATGCGTCGCCGTGCAGCGAAACCAGTGCCATTGTGTTCATTGTTGTTGTATCCGTTACCATTGTATCCATTACTATGATAACCATTACCATTGTAGCCATTGCTGCTATAGCCATTGCTGGAGTAACGATTCCCTGGATAATCAGTCCCATTGGTACCATCCCCATTGTAGCCATTTCCAGGGTAACCATTGCCATTGTAGCCACCAACACCTTGGCTGTTGCCTTGGTAACTATTGCTGATATTGTCAATGGGCTGAACTGGGGCCACGCATTCACTGCTCCCATTGGGTGGTGCAATTTGCGCCGGAGGAACCTCAGGAAACCACTGTCTGTTCAGACATTATCACAAAATCAGACAGATATATTAATTTGTAAGAAAAGCTTGTAAAATTCAGACACTGTTGTTTGAGTCATGTAAAGGCCCCGATATAATCACAACAATGTTTTTTTTTCCTTTTTCACATTTTTCTTTTTTTGAAAAACCTTTGCAGCGGTGTACTGTTATGAACATCCCAATGTCAGCCGTGCTTCTGGGAGTGGCGTTTAGATGAATATGCAAGTATGTGCTACACACTTTCCTCTCAATAAAAAAACAAACAACACAACTGACAGAGGTGATAAAACAGCGGTTAAGATGTGGATATATTTGCACCAGCTCTGCATTCTGGCACTCTAATCAAATCAAGTCACGTCATGTTTATATATATATTATACATATATATATAGCACTTTATACAATAGATTACTTAAAAAACAGTATAAAAAAAATAAAAAACAGTTTCAGTGTGGCTTTCAATTGACCGTTCGCAAAGACCCGCTCCCAATAGTTACTGTTGCTATGTCCGACAAGCCACGCCGCTCTCACGGCTCACCATGTTCTCACGCAGTGAAAAATGCATTGCGGAGCAAAGAGGACACTGACAACGCGCTGACAGACAGGACAGACCAGGTTACTTTTGATATGAAACAAAGTCTCAACTTTCAAATTTAGTCATTTTTAAAATAAATTTAAACAATAAATACCGTTTTGTGGCTCTTTAATGTGTTGTGACAGATCGCTGTAGTCTCTTAAAGCTGCTCGTGAACCGATCATCCCTTCCTTCTAGTTTATTTATAGCATCAAACATGAAAGAACATAAGAAGGAATGTTGTTTTAACCGCGGAAAGACGTCAGTACACTCCGTTTTTCAAGTTCAAATCCTCCAACGTTAATCTACTAACTCTTCTGACTGCTTTGTCGGACAAAAATGGCGGATTCGGCAGATGGCGGATTATGATTGCAAATGGACCAATAATCGCTATGGACCAATGGTAGTTTGAAGGTGTTTACCAGCAGGAGCGAACCTTTCCGGAAAGTTCACTTTGCCAAGCTGTTTCGTAAAGTAAACAAACTCCAAACGAATTTAGTTTTGGCCTGATTTAGATTTGAAATTATGTCATACGAGTTCGTTCTTTGATTTTGTTTAAAGTATATATTAGGGCCTTGAATTATTTTGGTGCATTATGGGTAGTCAAACATTTCCTACTAACCTATCATGTGAGACAGCACTATGAGGGTCCTCCCTGCTAACAGCACTTTGCTCTGGAGGGTTTGGCATCTCTGTAACTCCTCCTCCTGTGACTGCTCCTCCCATCACTCCTTCACCTCCACCTCCTACTTGTATGGCTTCTCCAGTGACTGCTTCTCCATTTCCTCCTGGAATGACGACCCCTCCTGCGACTCCTCCATTTTGCATTCCTCCATCCGGAGATGGGGGAGGAATATATTCACAAGCACTAGTTGTATCATTCCTGGATGAGAGTTTAATAAGAAATACAGTAAGATGATATACAAAAAAAGTTCTTCAAATACCTTATGAAAGCATGAAAAACATTCCAGTCACCTGCATTTCTTCCAGCTAACTGCAATAAGCTAATGCTACAATGGCTGATAATGCTCCACAATTAGGTTCTTTTAAAGTGAAAAGTCAACATTTCTCTAAAGGCTGGAATACACTACACAACTTTTAAAATCTGAACAGATTTTAAAACATTATACATTATATACTTGCAGACTAGGTAAATGGTTAGAGAGATAAACTGGGCATCATACACTAAACGACTGAGGATCATACACTACCAGACCTCCAAGTCGTTCTGAACACAACAAGCTCATGCAGAAACATGCTAGGTTACGCACAACAAATGAAAACAATGTGTTTGTTTTTTTAATTAGCTGAAAATATCAAACATATTTAAAATCCTCTATGCCCATAGATGAGTCTATGCCCATCATACACTACGTGATTTTCTGCAAAATCTGTCAACTGCCCAAAAATCTGCAGACTGACTCTGACTCACATCAACTCATTCAGACAAATCAGGGCAGAAATCCGGGCGAAAGATGTGAAGCGTATTCCAGCCTTACGGTGCAAAATACTTTTGACGGCAAATGTTACAATGTGCTACCTAAAAGCTTACACTGGGCTTGAATTTCCACCACATATTTTGCCATGAAAAAGACAACTGAACCATGTCTCCAGTACTGGCATTCTAGATATATTCAGAGCTAAGTCTCCAAGTCTGAGTTAAAGGAAACATTAAAAAGCCAAAGCAGCAGCAACAAGCAAGTGGAGCTAAACAAAGCAGTTAATGACAAATTGGGATAGTTTTATTGTCTCTTTGCTCTTGGTGTGAATGTGGCTTAAAGTGATAGTTCTCCAAAAATGTTTAATTCTGTCATCATTTACTCGCCCTCCTGATGTTCCAAACCTGTATCACTAACACTACTGTTCATAAGTTTTGGGGTTGGTAAGATTGTTTTAATGTTTTTGAAATAAGTCTTTCATACTCACAATTTATTTGATCAACAATACAGAAAAAAATATATATTATGAAATATTATTAGAATTTAAATGAACTGTTTTCTATTTTAATATATTTTAGAATATATTTTATTCCAAAGCTGAATTTTCAGCATCATTAACCCAGTCTTCAGTGTCACATGATCCTTCAGAAATCATTATAATATGCTGATTTGGTGCTCAGGAAACATTTTTATCAATGTTGGAAACAGTTGCGCTGCTTAATATGTTTGTGTAAACCATGATGCAATTTTTTAAGGATTCTTTGATGAATAGAAAGTTTAAAAGAACAGCATTTATTTGACATTTATATGTCTTTACTCTCACTGTAAAATCTGACTGATCCCAGACTTTTGAACAGTGGTGTACTTTATATTTTCAGGAATCTTTACAAAATACATTCGGTTACACTTCATTTTGACGTTCCACTATAGACATTCTACTAATTATAACTTTGCCACTACATTTCAGCTAACTTAGACTGTTAGGGTAGAGTTAGTTGTCAGGGTTCGGGTTGGTAGAATAAGTTGACGTAGTTGCAAAGTAACTCATAGTCAGTCTTTTGGGGGAGCATCAATATAAAGTGTAAGCAGATAGTCTACCAATACTCTAATGAGAGTTACTGTAGTAGATATGTAGTTGCACAGTTACTTATAGTTAGTTGAATGTCTAAAGTGATCAATCGAAATAATGTGTTATCATATTTTCTTTTGTGAAAAAAGTATCATACTGGTTTGGTTCAACATGAGGGTGAGTAAGGATGACAGAATTTTCATTTTGGGCAAACTATCCCATTGAATTGTAACCTGTTACTTCATAGTGCCAGGGTTTTCAACCAGGTGTCCTTGAAGGGGGTCATGATGTTTAAAACTATTATTAACAACTAATTTGTTGATGGTAATAACTAAAAGTAATGATAAATATTACATAATGTACTGTAGTAATGGTAATTCATGTTTTAATGAAAGATACTGTAAATTGTTACTGAGAAAAAAATTGACGGTTATACTGCCGATCCTGAGGTTGGCTGAAAGTTCGTTGGGTAGGTAAAGGTTGAAAACCTCTCCTTTTCCCATTTTAGAATACACTAGAGAGCATGACATCTACACAGCATGTCTGTCAAGCTTGGCAAGCATGGCAACTTCCCAAAATTCAGACTACTTGGCGTATTTCCAGTTTCCAAAATGTTAAATTGCAAAGAAAATCTTGTTTTTGGAGCATCTCAAAGCTGTGAAGCGATTAGTGAACTGACAGTTATGAAATTACAGGCCCTTTACAACAGAAAAAGTTTTGTCTTGGACTAAAATCTAACCAAATACCCCATCCAGTAAAAAATGCTCAAAACAGCTTTTCAGGTCCTGAGACTCCAAATCAAGTCATTAGAGTTTTCTAAATTCAGTGTAGTAGCTTCTAATTATATTTCTAAATCTAATTCTTACCTTTGGTTGGTATTCAGCATCGAAAATGGGGTGAGTTTGCTGTGACTGGAGGCCCACCTACTGGGCAGGGGAGACAACCTCTGAGGCTGATCAATTATCACTTCGTTTTCGGATAGGGCGGAGGCCGGACGGGACTCCAACAGAGCCTCCTCCAGCATTAAGCTCCCATTGCGTATTCTAGGAGGAAGCTCAATGCTCACTGAGGTCTCGTCCAGATGTGGGGGCATAGGGGTGCTTCTAGGGGTGGACATGACCGGTGTGGGAGGAGCATCACTGAAGACGCTGTCACTCTGCAGTTGGCAAGGGAAACAGAATTAACTGTCGTTCCAGTGAGACTTGTCTATAAATAGTTTTATAATGCATAAGGAAACATTTAAATTACAGTTGTAACTAATACAGTTGTAATACACTTTATTTTAAGTGTCCTTGTTATAGTATAGTTATACAATTAAGCACTGAATAATATTTTAATTAACAAATTGTACTTGGTATAGGGTTTAGATTAGCGTTTGGTTTAGGGTTAGAATTATGCATAATGTTCTGTTATTACTATAGTAAGTACATCTAATGTGTGACAAGGAAGGACACTGTAAAATAAAGTTTTACTTTTTTTTTTCTCTTATATTTACAATTTAAAGTGCCCCATAATGCTTTTTTGGGATATTAACTTTCACATAGTGTGTGATATAGCTGTTTGTGAATGTAAAGGTCTGCAAAGTTTCAAAGATCAAAGTGCATGATAAAAGGAGTTATTGTCTTCCAAAAGAAGGAACGATTCTCAACTGCCTGAAATGAGTCGTCAGTAATTCCCGTCTTACTTGCTGCATGAACCTATGTAGGATTGTAACACATTTGCAAAATGCTCTTAATTGGCTGCCCACGAACAACGTCTACTTTGAACCACCTTTAAACACTAGTTGTAGCTTTTCGTTTATGTTGTCGACATGTGGAGAAGACGCTGTTTTCTGTGCTTCTCGAAAGGAAATCCACTTTGCATGCACTTCCAAAAGATGGGGACTCTGGCTTGATTGATACAGTAAAACCGATGCTAATGTTACTGCCATGTAAACTATGAGAAAATTAAAGCGTTCTTTGCACTTTGATGCATGTAATCCTACTGTAGGAGACTTTAAAATAGCATAATAGGGACACTTTTGGTTAAGGTATTGACAGCATCTGGCATGCTGTCAGTTAGTTTAAAGCACTCTCATTTTACTATTCCCACTGGATATTTTTTACTGCTGAGTGTTCTCACCCTGAAGAAGTCTTCTTCTTCCATCATCTCCCCCTCTAGCCCTTCCAGCCCTTCCTCATCCTCCATTGCCATAGCCAGACGCATCTCTGGGGCCAGATCCTGTAGTGTGCGTAACCCAGCCTGGACCACACAAGATGAGAGTCATGTCAAAGACAGGCTGTAATCCAGTGATGCTGCACTAGGCTTGCACAGAATAACAGTGCAAAAAGTATGTAGAATGAGAATATGGAGCTCATACTCAAGGAGGGGAAAAGGCCCAAACTGAGCAAAAATATGCAATTTGCATACATTTATATGGCCAAAAAGTAAGATGAAATTCCAATAGGTTGTGGTGTAAATCAATGAGATCCTTTATAAGCTTATACTGAAAAATGAAAAATGAAAAGTTAAGAAAAGACAACACACACACACACACACACACACACACACACACACACACACACACACACACACACACACACACACACAAACACAAACCTCTCATAATTCATTACCTGGAGAGAGGCTGACTTGTCCTTGCCTTTCTTCTTCCTCTCTTTCTCCTTTCGCTTACGAAACTTTTTAAAGTAGTCCTGAATCAGGAAGCTGGCATAGAACTTTCCTGCAGTCACCTCATTCCCTAAAAACGTAAAGAGATGGATTTTTAAAAAGACAAAAAAATGCAGATCTTCAGTTGTCCGAAGAGGTAACTTTTTTGAGTGGGAAGGGAAGGACTTGTTGGGCATTGATTGAGGTATTTCTGATTCAACACAATGTTAGCGCTAAGCCTCGGAGAACACTGCATGTCCTTCATGGTCTGTTTGTAAGGTCAAACTTGTATATGGTGTTGGTTGTCCACATTAAGCACAGAAAGCCAATAAAAAGATATTATTGTAACATACTCTACCTGCAGGGGGAGGTATAACTTCATCCAGCAGTTTGGGTTTGGTACGTTTCCAAATCTTCTTGATGATAGCTTTCAGCTCCTCGTTCTGCTGGTCAATGGGGCCTGTGTTGAACGGAAAGGTACTGTATTACTGTATTTAGGATAGAAAAAATGCTTCATTTTTGCTGTAGTTTTTGTCAAAAAACAGATTATTTAAATCTATAAGCATCATTTTCCATAGAAAAGTTTAATTTATGGAAGCAATAACAAATGTCCTCACTTGTACATGTCAGAACTGACAGAAGTGTATTAATAGTATGTTAGTGAGTTTGTGTGTGTGTGTGTGTGTGTGTGTGTGTGTGTGTGTGTGTGTGTGTGTGTGTGTGTGTGTGTGTGTGTGTGTGTGTGTGTGTGTGTGTGTGTGTGTGTGTGTGTGTGTGTGTGTGCAGGAGTCCAACCGTCTGTTTTAATCTTGAGTGAAGTTCTGACGAGAGCAAACAGGGTGGCGTTGAAGGACACAGTGCCATCAGGATAGAGAGGCACATTCATAGCAACCAGTCTCTGCCAAAGAGAAAGAGAGAGATGGGCAGAGAGAAACAGAAGGGCTAAGATATGAATGGTTGCCAGGACACTGCTGTGTGGAGCATGTTGAAATGGGCCTGCAAGTGTGTTCTGGGTGGTTGCTTACTGGACCTCACAAGTCTCTGGTATTTTGGTCTCTACATACACCACCGTTTAAATGTTAGGATGCATTGTATTAATCAAAAGTGACAGTAAAGACTTTTATATTGTTACAAAAGATTTCTATTTCAAATAAATGCAGTTTAAACTTTCTATTCATTGAACGAATCCTGAAAAGCAAAATTTATCACGCTTTCCACAAAAATATTAAACAACTGTTTTCAACATTAATAATAATAAATAATAATAATAATAATATGTTGGTAGCACTTATTTTACAGTCTTGTTTGTCATTATTTTAGTAATGACACCTACCCTGAACCTACCCCTAAACCTTAACTGACCCCATGTAGTTACCTTACACTACTGTAGTACTTTTCATGTAAGTGGGTAAGAACACTGTAAGTACATTGAAAGTGCACGTACTGTAAAATAAAGTGCAACCAAAATGTTTCTTGAGCACTAAATCAGCATGATTTCTGAAGGATCATATGACACTGGAGACTGGAGACTTGTGTTCCTCCTAAAATGCAAGTCTACAGGACTTTTCACCCATTTCATTGTCCACCAGTGACTGTATAAATCCAAATGTCCTTACCCTACACGCTACTCGATGTGGACAGAGTTTCCCAAAGCCCAGCGGAGGCTGAATTCTGCGCAACATGGTGACTACATCTAGATGTTTGATCCTTCCCCTGACACAAAGAAATGCAACAGTATTTATTAATTTAATTAACATACTCATTTAAGACTGGGATTTAATTATGCTCTCATAAAAAAAGACATCCAGTTTGTGTGAAATCACTTACGTGGCTTCTGGGTCGTAATCTGACCAGACTCGTTTAAACTCATCGAGGTGATGAGTGCCCAGCACAGTCCAGTCTCTAGTCAGATACTCAAAGTTATCCATGATGACAGCGATGAACAAGTTAATGATCTGAGAAGATGCAGATTAATCACTAAACAAATTTGTTTATTATTTTCAGAGATGGATTTTTAAAAATTATATATTTCCCCAAGAAAATGTGTTCGCTCAAAACTTTTGCATTCTCTCTCAAAACTATTGCATTCCCTGAAAAACTTTGCATTTGCTAGCAAAAACATTGAAAAAACTTCAAAAAGCAACTTCATATTATTTCAAACACTAGCTTTTCCATTTTCCATTAACACAACTTTAGCAAGAGAGTGCAAAACTTTTGCGAGTTAAAGGTGCAGTAAGCGATTTCTGAGAAACACTGTTGATATTTGAAATCAAAAACCAAAAAGCACAAACAGGCAAAAACAGGGAGACAATGTTCTTGTGGATGTTTTATCCCTTACCAGGAAGGCACAGAGTGCAAAGAAACTGATGAAATAGAGGTACGCCAGGTTGCTTCCACAGCTGTACTCCTCCCCTGGCTCAATGTCAGACTCTGGGTCACACCGACGTCCTGGCAGTGCCGCAAGCATGATCTGCTGCCACTGTTCACCCGTTGCACATCTGGGTTTGAAGACATGCAACAAACCTTTACGTGAAACCATTTACTAACCAGATAAAAAAGCAGATCATTATCCAAACTCAAGTCAAAAATCAACCTAAGGCTACTGTACTCTTACCTGAAAAGCAGAAGTACAGCCATGAAAAAGGTTTGGAAATTGTTGTTCCGACTGAGTTCAGTATCGTCGTCAATAGCTATCTTCCCAAATGACTAGAACCACAGCAAAGAGTTTAAACTTCCCAATCTGGAATGTTTCTCAAATGAGGAGAGGGAGAGGAACATATACAAACGTATAAAGATGAACCCACCTGCATTCCAATCACACCATAGATGAAAAAGATCATAGCAATGAGTAGACCGACGTATGGCAGTGCCTGAAGGTAAGCAGAGAGACAGGTAGAAATTATGCAAAAAAGAGAATTGAGAATGAGAGAGTCTAGTGAGCTTGTTTGTTCCCTAAATTTCTCACCTGTAGAGATTTAAGGAAGGTCCAAAGGAGGGTTCGAATGCCTTCACCCTTACTGAGCAGCTTGACTAGTCGCATAACTCGGAAAAGACGGAAGAAAGTGATGGACACTTTGGCGCTCTCCCCATCTTTCTCCTTTTAAAGTGGGAAAAGAGAACGACATACCAAATATTAATGTATAAAGTCCAGTTAACAAAGGTTCTTGATCATGCCAGTGGCACAAAGTGAATTGTTTTGTGAAGCAGTCACAATATAATGCAGGTTATGCTAAGAGACAGGCAGTGAAAACTACATTAGACCTGACAGCAAACAGCCTGTTTGTGAGTAAGGATCAGAAAATGTGGAAAACTGGGAAATGGTCAAGACTAAATTAATTCCAAAGACAATCAAATGATTCAATTAAATTAAACATGTCATTTAAAGATCCTAAAAGCTCAAGAACTCACACTAATAAAAGTCATAAAAGCCTAACATTTAAATAATGAACTACAAAAATATACAAAGCCAATTCAATTTTGATATAGACAATAATATAATGTTAAATATAAATACTATAGTGCAGTTCTAGAACCTTCTATGTGTTGCCACATAAAACAGGACCAAAGTTTCTTTCTGCAAATTTCTATACAATATCAACGTAACAACACCATTGTTTCATGTCGGATTGATCGCATTTACAAAATAAGTGCGCATAAACAACAACACAGTGTTTTATTTACCAGCGGGAAAGTCACATTTTCACTGAGTTGTGGGTGTATTAAAATTATGGAAGCAAAACACCAGCAAATTCTTATTGATGACAATTAATGTTTAATTGCACATTTTGAATGTACAATTTATGTATATATTTTGTGTACTATTGAAAAACAATAGACAAGCTTGCAAAATATGAATACTTATTTAGCTGATTTATAAGGTGATTTATAACTGTGGCATATTCTTACCTCACCATGGCCTCCTCCACCCTGAGCCAGTAACAGGACGTTCCAAAAGCACACAGTGGAGCAGGAAACAGAAGATATGTGACATGATAGAAGTTGATAAGTGAGTGTGTGTCTAAGATAACAAATTCTACAGTACTTTAATCATTGTCACACCAAAAAAATCACATGCATGGGAATCCCTCATAGTTCAGATATAGTTTTAAAATAATACATACACTGAACTCTGCAATCATGATGTCCACCAAACTGCCCACCACTATCAGTGCATCAAAAGAGTTCCAGGCATCTATAAAATAATGCTGTGTAATCCACAACAAAGAGAGCAAGAGGGAGAGAGAGCAAAAAGCACAAATGTAAAGGCACTAACACGTGTTGACGTGTTATCAAACTATTGGAGCAAAGTGAAAAGTGAAGTGACTGAGGAAAGAAAGTGTCCAGCAAGTCTCACATAAGGTCTCAGAGCCAGAAGTTTGATGATCATCTCAATAGTAAACAGCGTAGTGAAGATCATGTTCAGGATGTCCATCACAGAGTTGAAGAGTTTGGACTGCTCATAGTGCTGTGGGGTCACAGTGACATAATCTCATTAGTGGACTAGACTACACATGATTGGCTGAGTTTTTATGCAGAACCTCTCCAAAGGAGCTTTACATTGATATGAGATATATTGTAGGATCAATTAGTTTTTCCAATTCTGAGAATAAAAATATATAGCATTTCAACTTGAAACATGTGTTGGCAGTTGTGATCTAATTGTTAGAGAGCCAGACTAGTAACCCCTCTCTAACCATAAGGCCACAACTGCCAACACATGTGATGTGTTGACTAACATACTAAAGCACATGTAAAGTTCTTGATTATAATTTTAACTGTATTGTGTAATTTAATATTACATTTAAAGTTGCCAGATTGCGGAACCAGTTGCGGGTTCGAGTCTCAATACTGGCAGGAAATGACTGAGGTCTGAAATGACTGCCCTTGAGCAAGGCATAGGCAAACATATCTATCTGTGCGGCCCCGAAGTGGTCCCAAATCAGCTGGACTGCCTGGGGATGAAGTTTCCACTCTCCCGGGGCCACAGGCTGTCGTGAGAGTTCGTCGGCTGCACAATTGAGCAGGCTGGGGAAATAAATGGCACGAAGCGAACCTCAGATGCTTCTGACACAATAGGAGGAGATGGCGGGCGAGTTGCGACATGTAACGGGACCGTAGACCACCTTGATGGTTGATGTACGCAACAGTCGCAGTGTTGTCTGTACGGACCAGTACATGCTTGTTGAGCAGCGGCGTCTTGAGGCGTCTCAGAGCAAGGTGTACTGCTAGCAACTCGAGGCAGTTGATGTGCCAATGCAGTTGGGGGCCCGCCCAGACCCCCGCTACTGCATGGAGGCATCTGTGGAGACCACAGCATACCTGGACACTTGTTCTAGGGGCACTCCGGCCCGGAGAAACGAAGTGTCTGACCACGAGCTGAGGGTTTGGCGGCAGGCCGGGGTGATTGTCACACGGAGCGTGCCGCTCTACCACACTCGTCTCGGGACTTGGCCGTGAAGCCAGTGCTGAAGCAGTCTCATATGAAGCAATCCGAGCGGCGTTACTGCGACTGCAGATGCCATATGCCCCAGGAGCCTCTGAAAAAGTTTCTGTGGGACTTCTGTTCTGCTCTTGACAGTATTCAAGCAGTTCATCCCTGGCCAGACACGATCCTCTGTGAGGCGTGCCGTCTGGTGGACCGAGTCCAGCTCCATACCAAGAAAAGAGATCCTCTGCACGGGGGCGAGTTTGCTCTTTTCCCAGTTGACCCGAAGACCCAACTGACTCGAAAAAATATGCTGGAGCAGCAAGTCCCTGTGCTCGCACAACTGCTCCCGAGACTGAGCTAGTACCAGCCAGTCGTCGAGATAGTTGAGGATACGAACACCACGCTCTCTCATGGGAGCTATGGCTGCCTCCGCGACCTTCGAAAAAACGCGGGGCGACAGGGCCAGCCCGAAGGGTAGGACTTTGTACTGATATGCTCGACCCTCGAACGCAAAGCGCAGGAATGGCCTGTGTCACGGGAGGATGGAGACATGAAAGTACGCGTCCTTCAGGTCAATCGCTGCAAACCAATCTCGGGGACGGATGCATTCGAAAATGCGTTTCTGCATTAGCATCTTGAATGAAAGCTTGCAAAGGGCCCGATTCAAGACTTGCAGGTCCAAGAATGGCCGTAACCCACCACCTTTCTTGGGTACAATTATGTACGGGCTGTAGAAGCCGGTCTTCATATCGACTAGAGGGACCGGCTCTATCGCATCCTTCGCCAGTAAGACTGCGATCTTCGCACGCATGACAGGGGCACGTTCGCTTAACACCGAAATGTAACGAACACCGCTGAACTTGGGTGGACGCCGGCCGAACTGAATCATATAGCCGAGTCTGATGGTGCGGAGGAGACAGCTCCCGGCTCCACGCTGAGGCCTGGGTGTAGGCTGCTGCTGTGGCCTAGCGGCGGTAGGGAGACGCCCTCGGTGACGAGCAGGCGGAGGATCTGCCACCAGCGGACGGTGGTATAAATACCTCTATTTAGATAGCTAAGTAAACGTGTGTGTGTGTGTGTTTGTACCTGTACAGCCAGTGCGAGCGTGTTGAGCAGAATGAGCACAAACATGATGTACTCAAACTGAGAGGAATTGATGATCTTCCAAAATTTGAGTTGAGAAGGGTTTTTGGGTATGTAAATCTTTATTGGCTGAGCTTTCAATGCGTAATACACACATTGTCGCTGTGAGCAAAAGAGACATACCATGAGAGAATCCATTAGACAACAAGAACAACACAAGGAAGGCAAAAAATTTTAATAAATTGAGTAGACTAGACGATCAAGAGAAATATAACTTAGCATCACCAAATTAATATCCAATAAGATGGTCTTGAATCCAGACTTACCTGATTTTTGTTTAGTTCGCAGTTTTTGAACTCAGCCTCTCCTTGTTCACGGAAGGTGATGATGACAAAACCCACAAAGATGTTCATCATGAAGAAGGCGATGATGATGATGTAGATGACGAAGAAGAAGGAAATCTCTACACGGTAGTTATAGATGGGTCCTCTGTTCTCTGCATTAGCATCAATGGCTTTGTACAACAGCCTGCGAAATACCAAAAAATTAAAAAGACAATTAAAGTTTGGAGGATTCAAAATCAATGCTGTTTTGTTAAACGTTTTCCTCACTGTGGCCAGCCCTCAAACGTAGAGACGGTGAATAGTGCAAGCATGCCCATCAGCACATTGTCGAAGTTAAAGTCGCTGTTCTCCCAAACTCTCTCCCTCACCATTGGATGGTTCATATCACCATCTTTGAACACCACAAAAGTGCCCCTGAAAAAAATCCCACACACAAGTCTCAGAAAACTACCCAGTGAGTCATTGTAAGGGCAAATAAAATGAATAATTTATGGCTAAACAACATACTTGCACTCTTCAGGTGTATGTTTTGCCTCATCAGTGCATCTGTAGAACCGGCCCTGCAAGAGGTATTACATTAATATTAACCAAAGTGAATACTGATTTCACTATTGAACATAGGGCTGCTGATTAACATTAACAAGTAGGCTGCACATAATGTCAACCTAAAAGGAAAATTGTTTCAGGAACGAACCAAATTATTACATTTTGATAAAAGACAGACTGACTGAAACTCTTTTCTTAGGAACTAATCAATCAAGCAAAATAACACCAGGAACATGCATTAATGCATGTCCATTTTAATTGTATGTTGGTTTTAAGTACCTTGAAAAGCTGCACACCAATACAAGCGAACATAAACTGGAGGAGAGTGGTGACAATGAGGATGTTGCCAATAGTACGGATGGCCACGAACACACACTGAATCACGCTCTGAAGACAAACGGACAACAATCATTGAAAGTTATGAATTAACATAACTGGAAATAATAAACATCATGGCATTTAGGTCTGCATGATATTGAAAAACACTGACATTTTGATATTCTTTAATCTGCAATACTGCAACATGAAAAAATACAAGAATTTTCACCAAATGACTTGAATAGCTCTATTTGGAATGAATTCATTATTCTAGAATGATTATAGGCGATTTTGTAGGGAAGTAAAAATAATTTATATAAAATAATAAAAAGCGGGAAAATTCTTTTAGTGTGAACTATCCATGGGTGCGTTTCCCAAAAGCATTGTTAGCCAACTATGGTTGCAACTTTTGTCGTTATCAGCATAGTTCAACGAGTCGGTGTTTCCTGAAACATTCGCAAACAGCATGGCAAAGTTTTATGGCTGGAACGACAGTTGTGGTTAGAAGCATAGTTTCTTGTTTGCATGACATGTGGACTCAATAAATCCTTATCTTGAGAAAAATAAGCAAGCTGACATTCAGTACAATCAGTATCTTTTATTTAGAATACATAAAAATGTCATTTACATCTTTTAGTTTGTCAAGAGATTTAAAGAACCGTTTATTAATAGTGTGCATGTGCAAACGTGCTCTACTATGTAAGAACGAGTCTATTATTGAATCTGGAAATAAACCAAATAACTGAGAAAAATATTAGATAGTCCTCAGATGCCATGTCCTTAATTTATAGCAAAACATCTAGCATTAATTCGATCTCAAAAAGATTCATTAAAAGAAGTTATTACTCCACCACCTGCATGACATCATTAACCAACGTGGTTGAACTACCATTTTGCGAAAATACGGTTTTGGCAAACCGTCGTGACTAGCTAGTTGATTTCTTCAACGATACAATGTACTATGGTAGTAAAGCAGCGAGTTACGTCGTTGTACGGATATAACGCATATACTGTAATTAATTCAAGATTTTAAAGGGTTAGTTCACCCAAAAAATGAAAATTATGTCATTAATGACTCACCCTCATGTCGTCCCAAGCCCGTAAGACCTCCGTTCATCTTCGGAACACAGTTTAAGATATTTTAGATTTAGTCCGAGAGCTTTCTGTCCCTCCATTGAAAATGTATACACGGTATACTGTCCTTCTCCAGAAAGGAAATAAAGACATCATCAAAGTAGTCCATGTGACATCAGTGGGTTAGTTAGAATGTTTTGAAGCAATGAAAATACATTTTGGTCCAAAAATAACAAAAACTATGACTTTATTCAGCATTGTATTCTCTTCTGGTTCTGTTGTCAATCCGCGTTCAGTGACGCTGCTGACGTAAGACGCTGCTGACGAGTAATCTGGAGCGCCCGAGCTTCGTTTACAGTCTGAGGGAGACGCACGCTGTAAACAAAACAATCTTCGCAAATATGTCTAAGGATTTCGACACAGAGGAAGACTTGCATTTTTTTGCCCAGCCATATTTATTTGAACCCGAATACACGGACACACCAGATAACACGTCAGCAGCGTCTTACGTCATCAGCGTCACTGCGGACTCGTGAACGCGGATTGACAACAGAACCGGAAGAGAATACAATGCTGAATAAAGTCGTAGGTTTTGTTATTTTTGGACCAAAATGTATTTTCGATGCTTCAAAACATTCTAACTAACCCACTGATGTCACATGGACTACTTTGATGATGTCTTTATTTCCTTTCTGGACAAGGACAGTATACCGTGTATACATTTTCAATGGAGGGACAGAAAACTCGGACTAAATCTAAAATATCTTAAACTGTGTCTTACGGGCTTGGAACGACATGAGGGTGAGTCATTAATGACATAATTTTCATTTTTGGGTGAACTAACCCTTTAAGTACAACATAATTCGAGAATTTATTCTGATTCAAGGGGAATCAGAATGCCAAATGCTGACTGGGCGAGAGGAGGAGCTGGGGATGGAGGAGGGTAATTAGCTCCTGAGAAACGCGGTAGCTGCTGATAATACTGAAGGACCTTATATACTGTATGTATACAGTGATAGGCGTCGTAATCCTATAGGTAGACGTGGATCAGCTGAGAGTCAGCTGATGCGAGCTTGACTAACGCTACCTGCCAGAACTGACGCTATGCTTGATTAATATAAATTACAATAAATCAAACCTCTTTCAGTAACAATAAATTAAAAAGAGTTCTCATTTTTTAAATTATTGTTATGATTTTTATTGTGATTATTACTTAATAACAATATTATACAAAATAGGAAAAATATATTGTTATACTGCTATTATACTATATTTTGAAGTACAACTGTAAAATTACAACACTGATATTTACATCTTAATTTCTTCATTTTTTAAATGTTAACCCATCAGGATTTTGTTTTGAATAAATGCGCAGTATTTCAGAGATATGCGCAGTATTTCAGAGATATGCACAGCACTGTGTTTATTTACATGCGTGCAGCTTATGATATAGTGTATCTGCATCTCAGAGCAGCACGTTAACATTGAGAAACATTGTAAAATTGTACCTTGAGTCCCTTTGCCCTGTTGATAGCTCGAAGAGGCCTGAGCACTCGCAATACTCTGAGAATCTTCACCACTGAAATGGCACTCGAACTAAGTGCAGAAATGAATAAGTGCAGGAATGAAAAAGTGCAGGAATGAATGAATGCATGAAAGAAGGAAAGAAGGAAAGAAGGAAAGAAAGAAAGAAAGAAAGAAAGAAAGAAAGAAAGAAAGAAAGAAAGAAAGAAAGAAAGAAAGAAAGAAAGAAAGAAAGAAAGAAAGAAAGAAAGAAAGAAAGAAAGAAAGAAAGAAAGAAAGAAAAGAAAAGAAAAGAAAACTTACTGCAAGAAGAAAGAGATGAGGGACACACTGACGACCAGAAGGTCAAGAAGGTTAAAGGCGTTTCTGCAGAAGGACCCTTGATGAAGGAAAGCTCCATACACAGTCATCTGAGCAACACACAGTCACACATTGTCATTAATGTATACACACCAAAATGAAGGTTCACCAGAATGTTTAAACTCAATGATCAATGATTTTGCACATGGCCAATCATTTGTCAGAGCTCAAAACCACAGTGTGCCACAGACAGTCCTGGGTAGTAACTGATAACATGTAATCTGGATCAGATTGCAAAAATAAAGTAATTGTAATTGGATTATATAACGTTTTAAAATTCTCATAATCAGACTACAGTTCTTTTTTTTTTTTTGATAACATGATTACATGTTCAATGATTCTCCCCAAATCTTCTTTTTTATCTTTTCAAATTTCCTTTTAAAAAAAGCCTATTACTTATATATGTTCGTAAAGTCTTCTCGATTTGTGGAATTGCACACACCAGCCACTGACTAGTCAAGTGAGAGGCAATAGCACTTGACCACTAAATTAACAGAAATCATTTCAATTTTAAGGAGTGTTTTCTCAATATTGCATATCCAATCAACTGCTGATGAACACATTTGAATTATTATTCGAATTAACACAACCATTTATTACTATGTCCATAGATTTGTCTTTCAAACACATTAAAATGCACAAATTTATCTAATTTCATATTTACATGTAATGCAGTTATTCCAAAACGTTTTAGTTAGCTAAACCTCTTTTGAACTAATATATAATATTAATAATTAGGTCAATAATTTAACAACACATTCGCATATTCACGGTTCTTTAATGTCAATTAATGGCCAAAACATGCAGGTACACAACTAAAAATATTTGATCTTTTTTAGCATGTGTTGATTAGTTTCTATTTGTATTCATTTGACATTTTTATGATTTAATTAATTATTAGTTTTTCAAGAACTCACTAACCCCCTGCAGTTAAATGTAATGCCCTTCGTATTGTGGAATATATTTTCTTTCTCATTATATTTTTATATCAATATGGTATAAATAAAATTGTCCAATTCAAATCAATATGATGAATGAGTTGGGTCAAAAGCAATCTAAAAGTAATGAAGTCTGAAAGAAGTCCGAATACATTACCTAATTTTGTGTAATGTAACAGATTACGTAACTAACTGCAATTTTCATAGTGTAATTTGCAATCTGTAACTGACTACAATTTGTAAATAAACCCAGCACTGGCTACAAATGTATCCCACTACTAGACATATAGAATAGATCAAAATCGGTTTGGAGCAAGAGAGATTTTAACTGTGCACGGGATTATCAATAGTTTACCTTCAACATGATCTCAATAGTGAAGACGGTGGTAAAGACATAATCAGCATAGCCCAGCATCTATCATATGACATAAAGAAAGCAATCAAGAGTACAGTCATTGTCTTTGGTACCAGGGTCAACCTCATGAGTCTAGGTCATATTTCACCTCAAAAAAAATAAAAATAATAATTTGCATATACACTGCTTTTTTGCTTGCTTAGTTGGGGACACTTAATATTCAGCACAATTATTAACTTGACTGCACTGACACTATTGGATGAGAGCTGAACTGAGCTGGATGATAACATCACTGTTTTCTCCAGAGCTGCTTTATAGCTGAATAGAACTCATTTCATAACTGATGAACTTTAAACAGTAATTGAACCGAACTGAATCAACACCGAATTGATTTCAACAGAAAAATTACTATTTACTATTGTCTTTAGAGCTGATTTACTGCATATGATAACAACTAAATTTATTCAAGTCGAAAATATGTTTTGCCAAAACTGAACCAACCGTAATACATTCATTTATTAAAGATTTCAACTTTTTACAGTGTAGAAAAAAATAATTTAAGGACCATTAATGAATATATATATACACTACCGTTCAAAAGTTTGGGGTCGGTACGATTTTAAATACTTTTAAAAGAATTCTCTTCTGCTAACCATGGCTGCGCTTATTTGATTACATCAAAAATCAGTTATAGTATTAAATATTTTTCCTGTGTAAATCAGCTGTTTTCTGTGTGAATATATAGTAAAGTGTAATTTATTCCTGTGATCAAAGCTGAATTTTCAGCATCACCAGTGTCAGTGTCTTCAGTGTCAAATGATCCTTCACAAACAGGGGCGGACTGGCCATCTGTGTGATCTGGAGTATCACAGAACGGCCGGTACTCCAGGACGGCCGGCGGGCCGGCCCACCACCCGCCGCCACACACGCAGTCATCACCTGTTTTTTCCCCCCACTAATCTGTTTCACACTCCAGTACTGTAGGTGGCAGCAATGCACCTTTAAGTTGGATGCCAGCGCCGAGCATTATCAGCTCGGCCCAAAAAAACTGCGATCGCGGCCGAAGCAGCTGTGCGGACTGAACTCGATCATGCGAACATTATTACACAGAGTTGCGCGATCCACTGAGAAGCATTTCAATTCAGTGCAGAATTCTCTATCTCTATTATAAACCCACAGATGGCTGTGATTTAAGCTAGTTAAAAGCCAGATTAAACAGCACTGATATTCTCAACATCTTGACGCAAAAAACAGGTGAAACATTGTTCCAAGAACAAACCAGTTAGAAGACATTTCACTCCACAACTTATGAATTAACTGTAACTTAGTAAAACAAATTTTTTGGCAGGAATGTGCCTGTATTCATATTAAAAATGCTGTTATATTAATAGTCATGTAGGCCTATAAGTGTAGGCTAATAAATGTAATGCAGTAATGTTTTTGTTTAGAAGTTATGGCAGTTTATTTATTTATTTTGCATTAAATATTTATACTAAATGTTTATGCTACAATAGGTTTTTAGAGAATAATATATATATATATATTACAATTTTTTCAGGAATTGTTGAACCAGAATATAAAGATATTTTATTATTTCGCATATGATGGTGAAAAGTAAAAAAGTAAAAGTTAAAAGTAAAGGTAAAGGTAAAAAAAACACCACCATGTTATACAAGGGCGAAATTGTCAATCACACATTGGGGGGGACAGCTGTGGAACTTTTTGTGTTGGCGCATGCACACATTTTTTTAATCAAAATAAAATTAAAAGTCAGAGTCCGAATGTTTGTAATTGTATAACACAACAAGGAATTTTATTACATCTGATCGTCAAACCAACGTATAGCCTACTCACAATGATTACAGCATCGGCATCAATTACAGGCCTGAATTGACAACAAAGCGGTCAGTGATCTCTCTCTCTTATATTCTTCTATAAACATATAGTGGCTATAAACATTTTGATTAAATTACGGTTACAGGATAACAGGATATTTACCATTCATAGATAGCCTATGTGCCAAATGTCTGTCAATTTCCGCGCTCCTCCTAACTCTTTTTCTGTTTGGTTTTTCCTAACTCATTGACGATGCACTAGGGATAGGAAAACATGACATGGATTTCAGGAGAAATAGGTTTTGCTAAATGTATAGTGTAAGGAAGTCCGAATGGATTTGGGAAATGGACCGGCCGGGATTTTATATTTTCGGAGCTGGGAAGAAAGACGTAGGCTATTTGCAATCACATCTGGCCCTGCCCGCATAATCATACAAGCCGCGTTTCCATAAGGCTACTCTTCAAATTGCGCCAATTGAAATTGCGTAGCCTAATGAAAATGCGCACAATGGAAACACGTCCATTTCGCAAAAACTCCCGTTTATCCCAATAAAGTTTTTACGCTTGCATGAGGAGGCTTTTCAGGCAATTTGAAAAAGGAATATTTCGCAAAACTGCAATGGAAACGGGTTTTGCGCATTTACAGTCAGCTGACTTAGAATACGCGGTGTGATTTGGGTCCGTGTCCGCAAATAATAATAATAATTATCATCATTATTATAACATTTATTATATGTAGAAGACGCTTTTATCCAAAAAAGGAACAAAGCAATTCGTCACATTTCATTCATAATACAGGTTGGACAATAATAATAGGGCTAAGATTATCACAAATAAACACAAGATTTTGACGCATATCCAAGTGTGTGTGCGGACTGGGTGTGGAGCGCGCACTGGATGGCACGGAGGCGTGGGCGCGAACACTTGCATTTTCATATCAACAGTCGAAACAACTTAAAATACTCTATCATTTCTGGTCATACAGAATATAATAATACATTATTTGCAACTACTTTTATTTGCGTAATCTCACAATAACAAGAAAACGATGTGCTTTTGTAAAATAAAATAAAACAATCAGGCGCGCTTTCATGATCTCCGTGAACTGAAGCGCGAGAACTGATAGGCTAGCCTTTGTAGACTGAAGCTTTAAATGTCCACTTTAAAAGGAACAAATTCGAATCGAAAGCTAATACCTTCTGATTATGTAATCCGTATGAAAGGTGCATTTCTCTCTAAAGGTGCATCTGGAGATGGAGATATGTTTTTAGCCGACACTGATTTAGGAAAACAATAGTTTATTAATAAACAATTAAAATGCCTCGTTATTTTTTCAGACACATTTATTATAGCCTAACTCAACTATACATCCCCTTTCTGTAGGCTGTGGTTATGGCTCTTCTCATTCAGCACTGCGGTAAAAATATAATTTCCAGGTTCTAATTTGGCCTTAGAAAACCAGTAAAATCTACATTTTTTTCTCCATATTAATTTGTGAATATTTTAAATGTTTAATAAAGGGGCAACAAGTAATAAACAAATATCTGAAAATTCGTCTCTCTCTCTCTCTCTCTCTCTCTCTCTCTCTCTCTCTCTCTCTCTCTCTCTCTCTCTCTCTCTCTCTCTCTCTCTCTCTCTCTCTCATATATATATATATTATTTTTTTATTTTTTTGTGCAGCATTTGGTGTAGGCCTACAGGTCAAACTAAAATGTTGGTGTTCACCTTTGCGTTTTAAAAATACAACAACCGTTCATTTTTCGTTTTGCAATTAGGCCTACGGGTTAAATAAGAAAAATGAATGCAAGTACACTGACCGTTTGGACATAATACGAGACAGAGTTCTTTATTGAATTCATAAAATAAACAATAATTACAGGAGTAGTCTACTGGACTCTAAACCCACTGATCTATATAATGACATTAATAAAGTCATTCTATATTGATCAGTGTCTAAACCTCAAAGAAATGCCACAATCAAGACATCGGAGCAGAAATGAGGGAGAAACACCCAGGAACTCCGTGTCTTTCCCTGCCATTAACGCTTGGATAACCCGCCACGTCTCCTTCCATTAATAATAATAATGTCTATGCGGTGGCTGTGATATAGGCTATAAACCTACCAACGTCCGTTGCCATGATTTTTGGAATGACTGATCGCGAGAGGAAAAAAAGACGTTTTAGTCGCATAACATCGGTTAATGGAACGCCGTCATTTCGCAATAGTTTTTTATCGACATTTAGAAAATATCGCAAAAGTTTTGCGCAAATCTGTAATGGAAACGCGCCCCAAATATGATCAAATATTGGGGGGGACAAATTGCCCTTCGTTGAATATTGGGGGGGACGTGTCCCCCTGTCCCCCCATAGGATTACGCCTATGATGTTATATGTATAATAAATATTTTTGAGTATAGCCCTTCTAGATTATTTTATCCCTTTAGCCCTCGCACACAAAAAGGTTGGAGACCCCTGGTATATAGTAACTATATGTTTTATAATTACAAGTTTGTGTAATTAGGGTTTCTGTAGCCAGTGACATTTCATTATTTGTATTTTATTTTCAATGCAGATGTAATGGCATTGTACATTTTTTTGTTTTTATTTGAAGACTGAGGCTTCATTAATAAACAAAACCCCAATTGTCATCATTGTTTTTGAGATATTACTTGCTGTGAATACCTTGTCTGATATAGGTTACAGTATTGTGGCATAGTATCAGGACATCCTAGTGGCTAGGGGTGAATGGCTGGATGATGGGCCTATTTGGGAGAAAGTCCAGGGCTGTTTTTTAGCCCCAGTCCGTCCCTGTTCACAAATCAGTATAATATGAGGATTTGATGCTCAAGAAACATTTATTATTATTATCAATGTTGAAACAGTTGTTGGTCTGTCAGTTGTACAGTTTTTTTTTTTTTTTTTTAGGATTCTTTGATGAATAGGAAGTTCAAAAGACTTTTGTAATATTATAAATGTCTTTACTGTCACTTTCGATCAAATTAATTATTCCTTGATAAATAAAAGTATTGATTTCTTTCCTCCAAAAAATAAAAATAAAATTCTCACTGACCCCAAACTTTTGAACGGTAGTGTATATATATATATATATATATATATATATATATATATATATATTCATATTTAAAAGTAAAATTGTAAACATACATATGATAGTACTTGCAGTACTGAATTTATTTTATGTTGATTTTAAGAAAAAAAAAAGCATTGTATTACAGTTATAAAAATGAAGTTATTTTGTATTAAAGTAATACATGGGAATAATAAATGTTACAAACAATGTCACAATGTAAATAAAAATCCCTTTTTATGTATAACATTGGCTGTGGGTGAAATATGAAAGTCTTCAAGGGATTTAGCCATTTTATTAATCTCTATTGGGCACAAGGGATGGTGTTTGGGAATCATGGGTACCACAGTGCACTTGGGAAATGCCATCTAGCAGGGACATGAGATCTATTACTATTTTAAGACTATCAAATGCTAATTTGCAGGGCCAGTTAGTGAGCCTGACGATTTCGTATTTTTAAAATGGTATACAGTATTAATAATTTGCCTCACTTTGGGAATGTGAACAATGGAAAAAAAGTTAAAGATCTGGACACAGACTGGCCCTCAAGCGTTCTGGGTCTTATCCTCTATTCTAGACACTAGAACTTACAACGTTCCTGACAGAATGAGTTTTGATTGGGTCTTCAGCGGCCAATGAAAAACTACTCAGTATGATGAAGACAAGGATGATGTTGGTGAAGTAATGATGATGAATGAGGTTGTGGCAGGCAACTCTGAGACTAAGTGAACATTGGCAAGGTTAATTTCAGGTCGGAGATCAGAAAAATTATAATTATTAGCAACCATCATTTGTGCTATTTAAAAAAAAAATGTTAACATACCAGTTTTTCTTTCCAAGGATGAAAAAGGAACTTCCATCAGGAATAGGTACAATTTTCTCCTTGGGTTGAAAACTTTCGACTTTCATGGGAGTGCCTATACCTTTGGAGAAAATTAAGATATAAAACAATGTCATGAAATAAGTTCAAATACATTTATAATCAATGTGACTAGAAAGTTTTGGACTGGACAGTATTTACCCTCAAGCCCTTCAATTGCTCTAAACTCCTCATTTTCTTCCCAATCGTCCATTTCATTCTGAACAAGGAAAAAAAAATGAAGAAAAAGATGACAAGAGAATGATCATAGAAACTTGCTTAATAAATGCTTTGATAAAATGCACAATTAATCACTGCACATTATATAAAGTCATATTTTATATTTATCAAAATGTGATAACTTTGATATAATAATACTTTGATAAAATTGATCAAAATGTGATAACTAACCCACTGAAAAAAAAAACATCAATATCAACCAATAATATCTTAGCCTGTTTTTCACAACCCAATTAAATAATGATGGGTAAAAAATTAAAATTCTAACCCCACCCCACTTTATCACCTGCTGATTATACTCAGAAATTCTAAATCACATTACAGAAGTTCAATGTGTCTCGAGTGCCTTTAAAAGAGAATGTGAGAGAGCGGGGTTCTTACACCAGCGTCTTCCTCTCTTTCTTCATCATCTTCCCATTCCTCATCCTCTTCTTTTTTCTCTCTATAAAACAGAACAACCGAATTTGAGTTCTATGCCTATGAGTGCACAACAATAACAATATGTGAGTGTTGCCTACTCTTTTTGCTTTTTGCCACCATCTCCGGCTAAGTTGTCCACAGCGATAGCCAAGAAGACATTCAGCAAGATGTCTGGTTGACAAAGTAAGTCAAGGACCAGAAACAAGACTCCAGATATAAGAATAGCCATATGGACAGGCTAATGGATATGAAAATATGGAGCTTATAAATAGAATGCACTTTGATATATCGAAAGGATACAGTTACCACAGACGAAAAGAATGACAAAGTAAATACAGACAATCATATTGGGAAACACTGGTCCACCATACGCCATGATGCCATCATACATGACAGAATTCCAGTCCTCGCCTGTTAGGATCTATATAAGAAAGAGTTCTTAGTCTACACCTCCCAGTTCTGTACACATGTGTATGTGAATGTAAAATATCATTTACTCACCCTTTCCAAACCTGTATGACATTCTTTTGTCTGCTGAACACAAAAGATGATATTTTGAAGAATGTCAGTAACCAAACACTTGATGGGCTTCATTGACTTCCATAGGTTTTTTTTTTTTTTTTTCATACTATGGAACTCAATGGGCACCAGAAACTGTTTGGTTACTGACAATCTTCAAAATATCTTCTTTTGTGTTCAATAGAACAATAAAAAATTATACAGGTTTGGAACAATTTGAGGGCGAGTAAATGATCACAGAATTGAAATTTTTGGGTGAAGTATCCCTTTAAGATGTACTGTAAAGAACCACCTTAAAGCTATTGCTAATAAAACAATCATTGTTTTGGGAGTAGGATGACAAAAACATTTTTTAAAGGGGTCAAGCAACTTTATTCTATTTGAAGATATACATAGGCCCATATTCCCTTGTGAAAAAGAAGAGTCCTTAAAGTCACCCTGAAATCAAAATGACCAATTCTTATTTTTTATGGAATATTGAATTTTTTAAAATATACTGTATATATTTTTTTTCTGTGAACATCATTGGTTTTTTTATTATTCATGTGCCCTCTTAATATTTAATCAAAGTAACTTTCCCTCCCTCTTGCAGCGACATCTCTTCTCTTCTCTGCTGAGGTGTTTACTGGCAATGAGGGCAGGACATTCTATCACTTTGTAATCGACCTCTGTTTATTACTTTTCAGCCCTTGGTATGTGTATTGTGTATTGTGCTTTGTTATTGTTTTTTTATTTGGTTCTGTTCCTTAAACTTGTCTTTGTAAAGCGACATTGGCTGTTGGAAAGGTGCTATATAAATAAAAATTATTATTATTATTACTCACGTGAAATCGCAGCAATAGCAAGCTACAATGATCCAATCAATTCCCAAAGGACAAAATCAAGTTCCACCCAACATTTTTTCTCGTTTGAGAAGCTGTCACAATAGGGAAGAAAAGACTTCCCAATACATTTTAATTTAAATTGCAATTAACATGCAATTAATGCTCAAACAATTCCATTCATACCACACTTAGTGTCACACCTAAGTATATTTTTCAATAATAAGTACTCATTTTAAAAGTATGCTAAAGTGTACTTCTTTTTAACAAGGGATACCTTTATTTTTCACAGCTTTTAGTCAGTTTAGGTGATCATTAGTGTTGTACTTGACCTCACAGGCTGCATAAATACGACATTTGCAAACACTGTCCAAAAAAAAAAAAAAAGTGCAAAGTTTAGCTTAGTAACCTGGAAACAGGTGAGCAGGGCAGATGGAAAAGTGTCAAAGGTGCTTCTTTTCATTTGAGTTTCATCAAAGTTGAACTTTCCACCAAAGAGCTGCATGCCCAGGAGAGCGAAGATGATGAGGAAGAGGAAGAGCAGCAGCAGAAGGGAGCAAATGGCTTTCATTGAATTCAGCAAAGAGCCCACCAGGTCTGAGAGGGCAGCCCAGTGTCTAAAGAGAGACATTCAGCATGTTCAATGAATCTTGAAAATCAGCATGACTCTTATTGAAGACTATACAAAGACAATGTGCTCCTTTTACTTATGAATGGGAGAAACTCCAAAGCGCAATATGGCGGAATACGTCCCGCCTTCTAAATAAAAGCTAATCGCTGATTGGTAAAAACATTGTCACTGCAGCTGCTGAAGCTCAGTTTCAAGCTCAGTTTCAGTTTCTTCTTAGGACTACACATGCACATTGGCTGATCTAGCCTGAAAACACCATTTTTGGGACAGTGCGTGTCAGATTTTGTTGCTGATTTGAAATTTGTTATTTAATTGTGAGCTCGGCAAGAAGTTTTTGAGATTTCAGGATTCCCCCATTCAAATAGATTAGTCTTTCATGCCCAAAATAGCTTCCCGGAAACGTTGCAAATATGGCCGCAGAGTGAACAGATTTCCAGTAACACTTTACAATAAGGTTCATTAGTTAACATTAGTTAATGTATTAACTAAAACGAACTAACAATGAGCAATACATTTTTTACAGTATTTATTAATCTTTGTTAATGTTAGTTACTAAAAATCCAGCTGTTCATTGTTCATGTTAGCTCTTATTGAGTCTTATTGATTATTTTAATAATCAGAGTTTGCTTTATTTTCTCAAATCTAAAATGAATTACAGGGTTATTATATTGTTATTATATACATAAAAAAACACTAATAAAAATGACACAAACACACAACAAAATGACTAAAAATAAAAATAAAATGAAAATATAAAAAATATAAACTAATTCAAAATAGTAATAAATACTATAACAGTATCTAAAAGACTTAAACTGACACTGTTGCCCTCATAACTCATTTGAATTCAAATGATACAGCCAAGTCATTAATACTACACTGTTTCACATTGAATGTCAAAGAGCTGGACACACTTATGAGCTAAATCACCTTGTGACTTTGAAGATACGGATCAGACGGACGCAGCGCAGCACAGAGATTCCGATGGGCGGGATTACTTCCATCTCCACCAGCACCGTCTCCAGGATTCCACCACACACCACGAAACAATCAAAACGATTAAACAGTGCCATGAAGTAGATCTGAAAGCCGAAGCTGTAGAGTTTCATCAGCATCTCCAGTGTAAACAGAGCCAGAAGGATCTTATTTGCTCGTTCTGGGAAATTAAAGAGACCGTATTTAAGACAGGGTCAAATCATCTCATTAAAGGCATACTTTGGCAACACTTCAGTTATACAAACCCTGTATATCAGTGAGCCACTTGGGCTGGCCGTAGTGTTCAGAGGCGCTGGCGGCAGTGTTGAGGAACACCAGCAGTAGCACCAGCCAGTAGAAATTGGTGGATTTGACAGCCACGCGGCAATTCTTCCTAATGACCACATTCAAGTGGTACAGCTGCTCACTGAGAAAGAGAAGATTCAGTAGCAAACATAAGTAGAGATTAAATCTGAAACTTTAAAAAAAAAGATGTAAAATATGTCACTTTAAAATTATTCCTTAGAAAGGTACAATTGGGCTTCTGGTAAACGTTTCTCAACAAATAAACACTTACCAAAAACTTATAGCCATCAGTCGTGCCCTATAGAAAAATAAAAGAGCTTAGGTTAATGAAATCTCTGGTATTTAATCATTTATTATATATGAAACAACAATATTAATGTTGTACTTACATTATAGATGAACAGAAACCACTGTCATCATCCAAGAATGCTTCAAACTCAGAGTCTGAATCTGATTCTGTATAAAAGAAAAAGGACTGAATGTGTGCTTCAAAAATGATAAGGGTCAAGATAAAATGTCTTAATTTATCTTAATACACGCAAATCTGAATGAAAACTTCAGTATACCTCCATCTTCACTGTGTTTGTACCAGCCATATTTCTTCATCATTTTTTTCTTAGCCACCACAGCACCTGCCATTTACACCACACAAAAAAGAAAAGTTCTTCATTGACTGAAAAACAAACACTACACTGCTTCTTAACACGTTTTAGTACTTTTTAAGTACACATTTAAAAACGTTTAACAGAAATGACATTAGAGTACATTTTAGTTTACCAAAATTGCTTGCCATTACATATAATTACCAGATTTTAATAGAAGTTAATTTATGTCCTACTTAAGCGGGTCCAAAAAAACACTCTAAAGTTACACTGGATATAAATATGAACTATAAATCATTTTCATTTAATTGCAATTAACATGCAATTAAGTGCCTACTGTATATTTTTCCAGTGTGATCATAATGTGAAAGGAACGCTAAATAAAGCTTATATTACGTTTATTTCCATCCTCATCCATGTCCTCTGCTTCAATGAGCCAGTCCATGTAGCCGATCATGTCCTCCTCCATCTGTTGTTTCTCCTGGGCCATCTGCAGTTCACCACGACACACAGCCTTCTCTCTCTCTTTAGAGAACTCACTGTGATGTGCAAGAGACACATGCAATGTAAACCTTCACAAGATGCCCAACAAATGTCATCACAAGACCTCCATATCTTTACAGTATGTATCTGCCCATATAATTTAATTTGCAATGGGGAGCAGAGCTGAAGGTATAACACTAAATCGTTATTTTCAAAACTATTTACCATACTAGTATTATAAACACACATATATGATTTAAAAGGCTTATAAGGGACCAGGGCTTGAGTCACTCACCCGCTCAAAACACCCAACACGAGATTGAGGACAAAGAAAGACCCAAAAATGACCAGAGACACAAAATAAACCCAAGGCAGCTCAAACCCGATGGAATCATTCATCTGAGTGAAACATTACAGACGAGAGAGAAAAAAAAAACAGAGGTTATTTAAAGTTGCTCATGAGCTGTCAAGTGTTTTTTGAGTGACATAGATTGGATATAACTTTAAACAGACAAGGTAGCACTTTATTTTACATTTCTTTTCCCCATGTACTTACTATGTACTTCTTATAGTAATTACAATAACTGGGTAATAACTTACCTGAACCTACCCCTAAACCTAACCTTTACTTTCTTGGGTATGTACACTGTAAAGTACACGTAAGTACGCGTGCTGTAAAATAAAGTGCAACCAGGTTAGTAAGTGATTATATCCCGTGTCCTTATTGTTAAACAAAACTATAACATTAGTCATATGTTAACATATATGTATATAAGTCTTGAGGCTATAAACAGTTTGCTTTTAATTAAAAAACTGAGAGAGGAGTTGAAATTATTTTCTGTAGTAAATATTTACAGATTTTGCATTATTGAGCTGTTTTTTAAATTGTTTAAATTTTAAAACCTAACCCTATTTTCATTAACATTCCAATAAAGTATGCTGTTCGTGTAAAATGAGTAACTTTAGCTAAATAAAAAGATAAAAAAATTGAAAAAGTGAAAAAGATGAGGGAGAGGTCGTACCCAGTAGAGCACATCAGTCCAGCCCTCCATTGTAATGCATTGGAACACAGTGAGCATGGCGAAGAAGATATTGTCAAAGTTGGTGATGCCTCCATTGGGTCCCTCCCATCCTCCCTGACACACTGTGTTATTCCCCACGCAGAAGCGACCGTTACCGGCAAAAGCACATGGAGTAGGATCATCGTCCACCATTAGCTCTTTTCACATGAAAATAAACAATTTTGTAGGGTTTAAAATTATTTATAGTCAACAAACAACCAATTTAACTTTCCCCATCATTGACAGAATTTTCCATCATTTATGATAAAACACTTCCCCACCATCGGCGGAATTTTCCAGCAATCCATGTTTTCACTGTTAAGCCGGGCACACTGTACAATTTATAATAGTCCTTTACGATTGTTGCTCGTCAGGCTGTACGAACATGATCCCTGCTATAAGTCTGTAGGATCTCAATTGTCATTAATGTCAGACTGTACAGCAGTCAAGATGTGTTAAAAACAGACGCACACAAAAAGATAGTCCGCAGTTTTACAACATCAATCCGTGACACGTTCCGGATAGAAATGGTGACTAGCAAACAAAAACAATCTTTAGAGTTAATTTTGATGTCTAATGTTTAACGTCTCAGGTTACGACTGTAACCATAGTTCCCTGAGAAAGGGAACGAGACGATGCGTCAACGACGCTTTGGGAACGCCCCCGGCCTGAATGTGTCTGAAGCATCTATGTCAACTAGTCCAATGGAAAGAATGAGCGTCACGGGCGGGTGACGTCATGACCTTAGACTTTAGGTAAAAGCACATCCGGTGCAAACCGGCATTAGCTTTGAAAATTGCCGAAGCAAGCCGATCACAGGGATGCAGGAAGTATGGCAGGGTGGCATCGTCTCGTTCCCTTTCTCAGGGAACTATGGTTACAGTCGTAACCTCAGACGTTCCCTTTCGAGGGAACTCGAGATGCGTCAACGACGCTTTGGGAACGAGAATTCCCAAATCGCCAAACTTTCAAGTACCTGAGTGTCAGTCTGTTGTACGCTAAGCACTAAGCACCTGAGAACCTGGGGCAGCATCCAGGTCCAAGCTGTAAAACCTGACGAATGTGAGCGGTGAGGACCAGCCCGCCGCATCACAAACGTCATGGAGAGAAACCTCAAATAATAAAGGCTTTAGAGGCCGCCATACCCCTAGTAGAATGAGCCCTGACCACCAAAGGGCATGGCTGGTCAGAGTACTCGTAAGCAAGTGAAATAGCCTCGACTATCCACCTACTAACCGTCTGTTTAGAAGCAGGAAGACCTTTCTTGGGTGATCCAAAACAAACAAATAACTGGTCGGAGCTTCTCCACTGAGAAGTGCGATGAACATAAGTGTCCAATGCTCGCACTGGACACAAGAGGTTCAGCTTTTCCTGGTCCGCAGATGTAAAAGGAGGAGGACAGAAAGCCTGCAGCACAATAGGCCTCGGAATCATGGTCGGCACCTTAGGGACGTATCCCTGTTTTGGATATAAGAATGCCTTGACCATCCCCGGTGCAAACTCAAGGCAAGTGGGGGAAACCGAAAGGGCCTGAAGGTCTCCGACTCTTTTGAGGGACGAAATAGCTAACAGAAAGATAGTCTTAAAATTAAGAAATTTCTCTGAAACCGAATCTAAGGGCTCGAATGGAGCCCTAGACAGGCCTCCAAAACTATTGTAAGGTCCCAGGCCGGCACCCTAGTGCAAGTTGCAGGCCTCAGCCTCAAGGTGCCACGAAGGAAACGAGTAATCAGGGGGTCTCGACCCATAGATATACCACCCACCAGGGCGTGGGAAGCCGCAATGGCCGCCACGTAGACCTTGAGTGTGGATGGGCATAGACCTGATGTGAAACGCTCTTGTAGAAACTCGAGAACTGTGTTTACGAACAGCTAACCGGATCCCACTGGCGTTGGTGACACCAAGCGCATAAAGTTTCCTCGTAGCAGGAGCTCTGGTGCTTAGAATGGTCTCAACAACCTCGGTTGAGAGACCACTCTCTATGAGTTCTGCCCCCTCAGAGGCCAAACCCATAGTTTCCAAATCTCTGGCCGGGGGTGAAATATTGTGCCCCCTGCCTGAGACAGAAGGTCTCTCCTGATCGGGATCTCCAAGGGAGGGCCGTCGAGAAGATGAATGAGGTCCGCAAACCAAATTCGGCTCGGCCAGCATGGTGCTACTAGCAGTAGGCTTATTCCATCCTGGCGGATTCTCTCCAGAACTCCTGGGAGCAGAGCAACAGGGGGAAATGCGTACAGACGAAGCCTCGGCCACGTCTGCACCATAGCATCCAGCCCCAAGGGGGCTGGTTGAGTGAGGGAGAACCAGAGTGGACAGTGCGTCGTATACTGAGACGCAAACAGATCCACTTCTGCCTGGCCATAAAACTCCCATATTTGCTCCACCGCCACAGGGTGGAGTCTCCAGTCCCCTGGCCTCAGCCCCTGCCTCGACAGGGTGTCTGCTCCTATATTCTGGTCCCCTGGAATATACACTGCCCTCAGAGAGCGTACTTTCCCCAGGGACCACAGGAGGATCTGGTAGGCCGGTTTGCAAAGCGGACGCGAACGCAGACCCCCCTGGCGGTTCAGATAAGAGACCACCGATGTGTTGTCTGTACGGACAAGCACATGATGGCCCCTCAGGTCTGGGAGGAAATGTCTCAACGCATTGAAGACGGCCATCATCTCCAGGCAATTTATGTGCCAAGAGAGATGATGACTCCTCCACAGACCCTGAGCCGAGCGGCCTTCCATTACCGCACCCCAGCCGGTGAGGGAAGCATCTGTCGAGATAGCAACTCGATGGGAAAGAGCTCCCAACACCGGACCCTGGGTTAAGAACCAGTGTTTCGTTCATATAACCAAGGCGCAGAGACACCGCCGCGTTATCTTGATCATACGAAGTGGGTTTCCCCTCGGGGAGAACCCTCTGGTCCTGAGCCACCACTGCAAAGGTCTCATGTACAGCAGGCCAAAGGGTATCACATTGGACTCTGCTGCCAAGAGGCCTAACAGTTTCTCGAACTGTTTCACAGTGCGTGACTGGCCTAGCTTTAGCTCTTTTGTGGCTGTAAGGATAGCAGCTACACGAGCGGGCGATAGAATGGCTCGCATCGTGACTGAGTCCCATTCCACACCAAGAAAAGTGGTTCTCTGTACTGGAGAAAGCACACTCTTTTTGGCATTGAGCCTCAACCCCAACATTTGCATATGAGCGAGAACGACACCTCGGTGCTGAACCGCTAACTGTTCTGATTCCGCTAGAATCAGCCAGTCGTCTATGTAGTTCAGAATGCGTATGCCCTGCAGCCTGAGCAGGGCCAGAGCTGCATCTACGCACTTCGTGAACGTGCGGGGTGATAAAGCTAGACAGAAAGGAAGTACCCGATATTGGTATTCTTTGCCCCCGAAAGAAAACCTCAGGAACCTCCTGTGCTGAGGGAGGATGGAGACATGGAAGTAAGCGTCTTTCAGATCTATCGTGACAAACCAGTCCTCAGATCTGATTTGAGTCACGATCTGTTTGAGTGTTAGCATCTTGAACTTGAGTTTCTGTACTGAACGATTCAACAGACAAAGATCTAAAATGGGACCCAACCCACCATCCTTTTTTGGAACAATGAAATAACGGCTGTAAAAACCCGATTCTCTGTCGGGTGAGTACACCTTTTCTATAGCTTCCTTCGCTAACAGGGCCTTTACCTCTTGCTCCATTACCAGAACCTGCTCGGGATGTACTACTGTGAGTAACACCCCGTTGTAGCGAGGACAAGAACCAAACTGGATTCTGTATCCTTTCTCTACTATCTGCAGGACCCATTGAGATATATTTGGCAGTAGCTTCCACGCTGCCAGAAAATCTACTAAGGGAACCAGCCTATCGAGGCTGGCCTCTGGTGTTATCGAGACAGCCAGTTCGGGAGCCTGAAACATACCGGCAGGAACTACCTGAACTGACTGTTTTTGAACCCCCCTCTGAGGGTGCGAGTCTGACGCGATGTCAAGTTGACATTGCGCCAGAAGCTCGCTGGAGACCACTGCGCCCCGAAGCACCGAGGGTGGCGGGGTTGGGAGAACGGCCCTGTGAGGACACCGAGATGGAACGGGCACCGTGTTCTGAGGTGTGTACCGTCCCACCCCGGTTGGGGCTGCCCTCACAGGTCTGACGCCAGAGACGTCAGGACCTTTTCTTTTGGGCCGAAGCCTTCTTAGCCTGAAGAACGGTCCTCAGATCCGGCTTAGGCTTCGAAGACTTCGGCTGGACTGTTTCCAGTGTTTCTGTGGTGGTGCACGAGACGCAACACTCTCTTTTTGTTGAGCACGATATGAGGAGCTCGACGGCCGGCGCTGCTCACGCCCAGCAGCCCCAGGGGGTAAGACACGGCGAGGGAGAAACTTTTTAAATGCCTCTGATTGCTTTTTGGCCTCCTGAAATCAATCAACTACGGCGCTCACTGCATCACCGAAGAGACCAGAAGGATCTAATGGAGCATCAAGGAGGAAGGTCTTATCTTTCTCCTTAATCTCAGCCAAATTCAACCAGAGGTGTCTCTCAGTAGCTACAAGGGCTGCCATAGACCGCCCAATTGCTCTAGTGGTCTCCTTTGTAGCTCTGAGAGACAGATCTGTGGCCCGACGAAGTTCGCGAACCTCATCGGGCCCCACTCCCTCACTCCTGTCTAAATCCCCCAGCAGGTCAGCCTGGTATGCCTGAAGCACAGCCATAGTGTGAAGGCATGCTCCAGCCTGACCTGCTGCCGTATATGCTTTGCCCACTAAAGTCGATGTTGTCTTTAATGGCTTCGTGGGCAAAGCCGAGGCATTCAGAGCAGATGCTGGACCGGGTGACAGATAGCTCGCGAGTGTCTGTTCAGACCGGGGCATCGACTCATAACCATACTCATTCAATCCCCTTATACCTGAATAAATATGTACTTGGGGACTGAATACTCGTGATGAGTATGGTTTATTCCAAGATCTGGACAGCTCACTGTGCAGATCAGGGAAAAAGGGAAGGCCTCGTGGTGGAAGTGAAATATTTGAAGGAAGAAAACGCTCGTCTAATTTGCTTTAAGGACGAGCGTTTCTTTTCTCGGCTGGCCAAATGATATTGAATTTTTCTACAGCGCGAGTAATCACTTCCACCAGCTCCTCATATGCTAGGGAAATAGGTGGCGAATATTTTTCCCCCATGTGTGTGCTTACACTTTCGACGTCCAGCACATCTAACTCCTCAGAGCTAGAGCACTGAAGCATAGGGCTCTCTCCCCGGGCAGATGTAGCTTCCGACACCGGAGGGAAAGCACAGGATCCTCCAGATAAGGAAGGAGATAAGGTCCGGGGACCCGTCTCCAACCCCTCAGAAAGATCCTTTTGCGATCCCCAGGAATGCATTCTCCGTGCTGCCTCGGCAGCAGCGGGTCCTGCACCCTGAGGATCGCGAGCCTGGCCACTTTCCTCGAAAAGCGCCAGGCGAGAGCGGAGCATGCGGAGAGGAAGCATCTCGCAATGCTGGCAATCAGCCCCCTCAAAGGCTGACACCGCATGCTCCACTCCCAAACAAACTACACAAAGCTCGTGTGTGTCCCCACCCGTTAAATAACGCGGGCAGGGAGAAGCACAGAGTTTGTAAAGTTGTTTCGCCATAACTCTTTCCAAATATATCGAACAGACAACAATAAATAGACAGAGACAGAGTGACACAGATCGCTTGCTGAGGCAACAGAAGCTAATGTGCACCGGATGTGCTTTTATCTCTTTCTGGTCATGACGTCACCCGCCCGTGACGCTCATTCTTTCCATTGGACTAGTTGACAGATGCTTCAGACGCATTCACGCCGGGGGCGTTCCCAAAGCGTCGTTGACGCATCTCGAGTTCCCTCGAAAGGGAACTGGAAAAAGAAAACAAAGAGGTGTTTGTGGATGTCTCACTATTTGCGTCATCCGGTTCTGTGTCCTATTAGTTTTGATTTGATGGTTGTTGTAGGAAAAGCCACACAGCAGGACTGTGCCTCAAAACTTCTGACACTTCTGAAAATTTTAATTGGCTGTCGGCTGTCGGAGAACATGTCAACATGAGAACATGAGATCACACTAGTGATCAAAGACTACAAATTTTGGCCAAGGATCAGAGGAATCTTTAAGGATTCACAAAATTTGTCTACTAAATCATGGCTAAATCGTACAGCATGCGCCCGGCTTTATACGAAAGGGGGCGATACTACAAACCTTGTGAAATAGTAAAGAATCTTTGGACCCAAAAACAAGCAAAGAAGAACCAGAAACAAACGATTGAACGAACATTAAACAGCATATAAATAAAAAATGCCTAACATTACAGAATTAAATGTCAATAGAGAGGTATAGGACTGTACAAACTTTGGGGGTGTTGATGGACTTGATCTACTCGATCTATGTTTTGACAACAACATGATTTTCCCAGCTTTTTGTTCAAAATTTTGCTTTTTTATGAAACGTACCCACATTTAAGTGTTGATAAATAATGTATGAAGCTAGAATAAAAAAAAATTGTTTTTGTTTTTAATAGCAGTGGCTCTGTTCTTTCTTTCGAAATATTGTATGTTCAGATACTGTATTCATGCAACTATATATTCTGGGGACCATAAAAGGTGATCAAAAATGCTGGCATGGGCTAGCAATTTATTTTTAATTTTTTTATGCTGGTGGGGACAGAGTTAAACATGCAAACAGAGTGGCATTGCAGCCAGCTTTGTAAGAGCTTGTGCTTGCATTTCTCACCTGTCCCTACATAGTAGCAGGTCTTGTGCATTTTGCCTATGAAGAGCTCCAGCCCAATGATGGCATAAATAATGATGACAAACATGACCAGCAGACCGATGTGGAGCAGAGGCACCATGGCCTTCATGATGGAGTTCAAGACAATCTGCAGACCTGCACACATCACAGCCTGAATCACAATCACTGTATACATCAGAATTATACAGTACACCGTATACATTTTCTACTCAAAACTACAGAAGAAAGCATGCACACACTTACTCGGCACACCAGAAACCAGGCGCAGGGGTCGCAGTACTCTGAAAGCTCTCAGGGCTTTGACATCAAGACCACCTGGTTTGCCTGCTCCGTGATGTGCCTCTCCTGGTTTGTGCTCTCCCATTTCAGCTATCACACTGAAAAGCCTGCAAATGGAATACACAAACCTGGTAACCTCTTCTGCTGTTCACTCTACTGTCAATTAAGTAGGTTTATGTAGCCAAACTTGGTCTTCATTAAACCAAGAAAGAAAGAAAGAAAGAAAGAAAGAAAGAAAGAAAGAAAGAAAGAAAGAAAGAAAGAAAGAAAGAAAGAAAGAAAGAAAGAAAGAAAGAAAGAAAGAAAGAAAGAAAGAAAGAAAGAAAGAAAGAAAGAAAGAAAGAAAGAATATTCAACTTGAAAACCACACACATACCCTACAATGACAATGATAAAATCCAGCAAGTTCCACCCACTGCGGATGTAGGCGCTAGGATGCATGACCAGACCGTATGCGAGAATCTTTGTGAATGTTTCGATGGTGAAAATGACCAGAAACACATACTCCACTTGTTCCTAGGAAGAATTAGGGAAGTAAGAAGAAGTGATGCAAACTACACACACACACACACACAATCAAAATTCAAAAGTTTGTAAGATTTTAAAAAATGAATTCAGCAAGGACGCATTAAATTGCTCAGAAGTTACAGTAAAGACATTTGTCTAAATTTCTGTGCAATAAATATCCAATATATTTAGATATGTCCAAGTGAATTTTAAATGGCACTGTCAATTTTAAATGTGTCTGTCAAAATGAAGTTGCATGATATTTAAATATACAAGCTTAATGATTTAGAAGCAATTTGATCTACACACACACACACAGAGAGAGAGAGAGAGAGAGAGAGAGAGAGAGAGAGACACACACACACACACACACTCAAATACACTCTCTCTTTCACCTGATTCCCCCTATAACACACATTGCTGAGCTCATTAGCTTTCTGCCCTCTTGACCTACTCAGTAAGAAGCTAAAGCTAAATGCTACCACACGTTAATACCAGCTAGTCATCCATATGCTGAATGCACTACTGACTCAACAACAGACATCTGTACAAAGTCTTAGCTAACCTGAAAATGACAGTATCAGCAAACTGTAACAGTTCTATATAGGGGTTATAGTGCAAGTGTATTAACTTAAATCCAGATGGATGGTGTTGTGTAAGAAAAAGAAAAGACAGACAAAAGAAAAACAGAGAAGCATGGAGAGGTGAATCTATTAAATAAAGCACTAACGGTTTGTTGCAATCATTAATATCAGTCAGAGAGTATATCACGTGTCTTCAGTAAGGGCAACGAGCGAGCTGCCATAGATAGAGAACAGATGGTCAGTACTCTTATCCTGTTTGGTATTCAGAGCTGTCAGTCAAACTTCAAGCCTAATGCAATTATAGTGTTGCACCGAACACTAGGAGCTCTGAAGAACTGTACATTTCCTTATATTGGATACATTCAATTTACCATGCAGATCATAAAAAAATAAGTTGTTCAGCTAGGCACCGAATGCACAAACCTTTAAGTACTTTCCATTTACACTGTGTCCTAACCTGGTGCTGGTTCAGTGGTGGCTAACTGAACGCGAAACCACTGGACAACGTGCAGGTTATGTAGCGCAAGATTTTATACCAATGAGATTTCACAATGGAATGGACTAACCAGCACGAAGTAGTAGAATTCAAGTGTTCGACAAAATGCCCTGTCAATAGTCTCACTTTTTGCTTTAGTGTGAAAGTTAGCATATGCACAAATGGCAGAATCTACATACACACAAAACATTACATATAAAACAGTGTTTTCCATGTCAATCCCTATTAAGAGAATATATATATGTATATAGACCATATACTGTGTATCAAAATGTATTAAATAGTAGGGGTGGGAATCTTCAGGCACCTAACGATCCGATTCCGATTCCAAAAATGTGTTAACCGACTTTAAATTATATTAAAACAATTGTATGTTAAGAATTTTAAATATATATACTAACATAGCTTCAAAGCATTAAAGCAAGTAGTAAATAATAAGAAGGAACAAATAAACACATTAAAGGAAATAAATAAAGAGTGCTTTCAGTATTTAAAGGGATACTTCACCTCTGAAAAGATGAATGTGTATTTAAAATGGGTCATTTGTGTAGAAGAAATGTGAAATTATTTTTGTATTTGGAGCTTTCTAGACTGAGAAAAGCCAGAAAATGTATTTTTGGCTTATGTGGATGAAAGACAACAACTCCCAGAATGCACTTGCTTCGCTGCCCTGGGAGTCTCCGTGATGAGTCTGCCCGAAAATGTGTTTCGAGATCGCCAAAAATGTCCGGGATTCGGCTTTTGCGTTCTACAGTCGCCATTCATTATGTTTACTGTGGCGAGCAGAGAGGCTGAGGGCCGTGGGAGAACGGCGCGAGGCCGGTGGCGTGATTACTGATGAGCGACACCTGTGAGACGCACCGCACCGGTCTCGTATCTCTCACGGAGGAGCGGGAATTTTCTTAGCAATGTTAAAACGCACATCAACCGATCACTTGTTTAGCTTTCATGTAAACACTACATAAATGATACACGATATTTGCGTCATCGGAGGATTTTTTCCAGACAAAAAATACATAAATCTCTCGTCTCAGGGGGATATGAGGGTGGAAAGCATGGTAATTAAAAAATACTACAGGTTTTCTACTAATACAAAGCTTAATGCTAAATCCTGAAGTATCCCTTTAAGGGTATATCTGAACGTTTTCCATTCAAGAGCTGAGAGGAATTTTTCTCTTTCTCAGCTTTACTGTTGTTTGATTATTACTGATGACATCACAGACAGCGGGAGATCTAATAAACTGCATTTACACTAATGAACCGATCTAAATATAATATGTGAATTGTCCTGTCTGTTTCCCTTAATCCCTTACATACATGTTTTGTCATAAAAGCATGAGATGCAAGTACATTTAACCACTTGCAAGGGTTGGCAGATTCATGAAATAAGATCACACAGTATATAAATATATAAGGGGACTCTTGCTTATTATTTATGGATGGCTTAAGATGCACACCATGCAGGTGATCAATTACACATGACTTAATGCTGAATGTGCTTGGATGGAGCACACAATTATATTATGTGGTTTGATTTATTTTGAGTGGTGGAATCAGTTTTCATTTACTGAGTGAATGGCATAGTAGACTCACCAGATTGTGGTTGGTGGCATTGGAATCATCTTCGGGAAATGGTTTTGACACACCAAGGGCAACACAATTTGCAAAGATGGCCAGTAAAATGAAAATATCAAAGGGCTTAAAGGTCTATGGTCAAGGAAACAATCATCTTGAAAACATACAAAAGAAAAGAATGCAAACACACATTGGGCAAAGGATATTTCCACTCCACTAGGGCCAGTGCTGCCATGCGTATAGGATTGCTGAGAGTGAGGCAGCACAGAGCTCTGGGAGCACGCAGGGCCGATTTGTTTGCTTGCATGTGCTTCTTGGCTCCTCCAGCTCTCTTTTGCCCTGCAGAACCTGTTGAGTTGAGTGTGTCTGTCTTGCTGGGGTCAGACCCGGCCAAGCCGGCCCCATCTGAAATAAAGGGTTTTCTTATTAAATCTATGCCTGAGACAAAATATCTGCATCTAATATAAATATTAAACTATAAGTTCACTTTGAGAGAATCAAAATTGAGAGAATCAAGATTCCAATCAAAATGGTCACTCCAAATCCGTTTGACTATCTTTCTCCATGCTTTTTTTTTTTTTTTTTTTGCAAAGTGAAAGTAAATGGGGTGTACAGCTGACAAGCAACAAACCATCACATTATTCAAAAATTATTCTATTGTGTTCATTCGGTTTTGGAACAACATGAGAGTTAATGATGAATACAAGTGGTCAAGCAACTATAAAGACATTAAGAGCAAAGGTAAATTAGCATCCAGTGAAATGAATGCGATCAGTTTCTAATGTCTATGATCTGAATAATCTTTTTTTAATGTTTTATTAACATTTGCATCTGGAAACAATCAAATGTCTTCTGACAGCCTCTCCAAAATCAGTAACTTGCATTTAAGTTGACCTGCATCTAGAGCTGCTCATATGAGTGTTAGATTTGACATTTCCTACTCAGCACAACCTTAACTGTTTAAAGCAAAGAAAGAGGCCAGATGTGACCAACAGATACCGAAGTACACCTAAGAAGTCTTAATAGGGGATCTGGCAGAAGTGACCTATAGTTCTAAGAGAAAAGAATTCCTAGTATATGACTCTCCAAGAAATCTATCTATCTATCTTTATGTTGCAGGAACTGCAAGGTTGTGAAGTGCAAAAAGCAAACATGTAATTATTATTATTTTTGTTTTACGAAATGGTTACTGCAACTAAAATAGCCTAGCCTATAGGCTACGTTCTCTCTCTCTCTCTCTTTTATCTTGAAATCTTTGTTGAAAAAAAAATGCAAATTGGTCAATAACCCGTTTATTAATTGGAATAGGCTGCATTAGGATGCATATGTCTTTCTACAAGAGAGTTGACTGTTTCAATGCAGGTGTAGGCTATGGCATATCACTCACCTTTCTGTGTCACATCCATGTCCACGACTTCAGCACAGTGAGTCTGCTGCTTATTCCTACGAATTTACATGAAATAACACCTCACTACACCTTACATATCTATTGATAATATTTATCGGGCTGAACCGCGTCGCGAGCAGTTAGCGGAACAGGTGTCGCGCGCAGGTGAAATGGCGCACGCGCGCTGCCTTAAGGAACTCCAAAGATCTCATTTAAAAGACGGGTCCACAGACCAAAGCATTTTCGTAAATATATTTACATTAATTGAAAACACGTGGATGGTTCAATATGTAGGCTATCAATAGGCTAATAAGGGAAACAAATGTATAAATCTATATCCTCGTGTGACCGCAGGTCTTGGGTGTAGGCTAGTAGCCTAAGCCGTGAATGCTGGATTAACTCATGTGAGCCGGTTAACGGGGATGATTGTTGTGCTGAAACCTTTCAAAGGGGAGGTGGAGACACGAGGGAAATTCTGGATACCTTGAATCGTGTTAAACAAATATGTTTAAAGTTGTTTCGATTTAAAAATATATATGAGAACACAATCATAAAAATAGTCCGTTATTAAAGTCTGTTATTACTTGAGTAAGGAGCCGATAACAGGTGTTACAATATAGGCTATTCAGTTCCTGAAATATTTGGTTCCAATGGGTGGCGCTAGCGTGAATATTCATGAGAATACCCTATCGTGGCCGTGGGCAACTAAGTAGGCTATTGATTTGCCTTCGTTTTGTTTTACGGATTATTTTGAAGAGGTAATAAAGTCGAACGAAGTTAAGCTTAAACTACCTAATAACAGTTCCCATTTTGTAAATACTTCATCTTTGTGTAACACCTGTTTCTGATTAGCCTGAGTTTACCTGAACAATTGCAGACTGCATATGAAAATAGCCTTTAGATTATAGGCTAATGGCTCAAGAACTTGGAGTTGGATGCGCTTGCTGTACACCCAACAGAAAATCATATTGATACACACAACCCACATAACTTCATTTTCAAAGGCTTTCATAAATGTTATTTAAGGTTATTTTGCAACAGTTGTTTTCTGTATAGCAATGCTTTAGAATGTTGGTCAAATTAAGTGATCATTATGACAATCGTATTGTTGTCTAACTGTTCATCATTAAATCATTAGGCTACATCTAAGCAGTTATAATGCCATCCTTTATCTAGGCCTAATCTTTTTGTAATTGTTGGGTAAACAAGTGAACACAAAAACGCACTGCATACAAGGCACAAAAAGAAGGGAATTAAGGTATAGTTATAAATAAATATTTGAATATTATAAAATATTTTTTATTAGTCTGCGGTGTTTCTTGATGTAGTAATTTCTCCTTGATCCCATGATTTTCACTAACATTATCATTTTATCTTACTATAAAAGTATTTTAGTTAGTGAATACTAACTTTCAAAATGCTTTGAAAAACCTCAATACATTTTACAAAGAAACATGTTGCTTTTTCTTATCAAATATAAACAGTATAGTATTAAGATAGTTAGATAACTTTATGTATATTGCATTTTAATTTGAACACTTTTCTTTAGTTGGCGCTATTTTGTTTAATCACACCTGAAGATTTGCATATCTATTCAATTTGCTATTGTACACATGCTCGGACAATAAATAATTGGTTCATCAAATACAATTTGTGAAGCATTCAACATCCAATTAGCTATAATGATGTGTTAAATGAATGACAAGTCTCTGAGCCACAATCAATAAACGTTCCCATCTTGTTAAATTTGTAGTTTTGGGAGGACAAGTGAGCCTGTGAGCTTCGGCGATGCGAGTGTGATTCGATTTAATAATTCTGCGTCGGACCTATAACGTAGCCTCTACGCCGTAGCCTACACGTCAGTTTTCATTTATACTTCTGCATCGATGTGCAATTACACATGTAGTAGGCACTAGGACACTAGGCAGTGTCACAAAAGCCACACAAAATCCACACCACACAAATGGCTTTTAATTGGTTTATTTCGTTAGCAAACATGTCACTAATTGTTAAGTTCTTTCCATCGATCAATTTCAATGTCAGAAATATAGCCCTATAGATGTAAGTTTGTGTAAGAAAGAATATTCTCACTTTAAGAGAGTACCGATTTGATCTAGAGTATGTGGCTTTTTATCAGGTGGCTGAGCCATGGGACATTGTTAGCATGGATTTAATGGGAAAGCTTACTCCAACTAAAGAGGGCTACCAGTACATTTGTGTAATGTATGTAATCTATTTCACAAAGTGGTGTGAGGCTTTCCCACTAAAAATCTGGAGTGCAGAGGAGGTAACAGCCTGCATTGTGAAGATGTTCTACAAATTTGGTATCCCAAAAGGCGTTTGACTGATCAGGGCACAGAATTTGTGAATAAGGTTAAGAGTTAAACCCTTTTAATATTTGAATCATTGGAAAAATATAATTAATTTAAATAGTATTTTGTTGGTTTGTTTATACAGATCAATATGGATGTCTGCCAAGTACTTGGCATTAAAGAATTCTATGATCCTCATACCATCTTCAGGGCACCGGACTGGTTGAAAGATTAAATGGCATAATTCAGAGGAATGAAAGTGACCATTCAACTATGACAAAACTATTAGTATACTGTATGAATGGCAGATGAAGAAGGCCTCTGCTCTTGTCTCTTGTACATGTATGGTTGTCCAATGCACAATGTTTGGTCTCTGAACTAAAAAACTAGTAACCACCAAATTCTCTCCCTACTTTTTTAATGTTTGGCTATAAGACAAGTTATCCATGTGTGGTACCAGACAATTATGAGGTAAGCATAATATATTTAACTGTTATTTGCATTTTTTTCTCCAATTGCCAATAAAATACATTATCTTTATAATATAAATCAATGAAAGTGTGGAGGACATTGTGGCAGAGGAATGCATTGTGGAATGCATCAGAAGGCAGGACAGGATTTTTTAAAACCGTGCAGGACAACATGAACAATGTTCAAGTTATTGATAAAGGAAATTGGAGAAAAGAATGGCCATTGACATTCAGGTTGGAGACCGGATCCTACGGCAGAATGTCAGAAGCAGGCAGAGAAAGGGGGCAAACTTACATTTACATTTACATTTATTCATTTAGCAGACGCTTTTATCCAAAGCGACTTACAAATGAGAACAATAGAAGCAGTTAAACTAACAGTAGGACAACAATATGTAAGTGCTATAACCCCTCTCAGTTTAATTTTAGTGCAGTTTTTTTTTTTTTTTTTTAGAATAGAAGAGAAGAGAAAGTGTTAATTCTACTGAATCAAGTGCTGCCAAAAAAGATATGTCTTCAGCAGTTTCTTGAAAGTGGCTACTGACTCAGAAGCTCTGGTTGAGTTAGGCAGATCATTCCACCAACAGGGAACAGCCATGGTAAAGGTCCGAGAAAGAGATTTTGTGCCTCTTTGAGATGGTACCACAAGACGACATTCGCTAGCAGAGCGCAGGTTTCTGGATGGCACATAAGTCTGAAGTAATGAGTTTAGCTAAAAGGGAGCAGTGCCAGTGGTTGTTCTGTAGGCAAACGTCAGTGCCTTGAATTTAATGCGAGCGGCAACTGGCAACCAGTGCAATTGTGTGAGGAGAGGAGTGACGTGTGCTCTCTTCGGCTCATTGAAGACTACTCTGGCTGCAGCATTCTGGATCAATTGTAGAGGTTTGACAGAGCAAACTGGAAGACCAGCCAGGAGAGCATTACAATAGTCCAG